TTGTGAGTTCTTGCACCGTGCACTCGCCTATTTTTTGGTTTTGCACTGTGCATTTGAAATACCGCTGCTTTTGAAGCATCGTGAGCTTTTCTCAACTGCGTGTTTGCTCAAAAGACGTACACAGTTCAATCGGCTTTTTTGAGGTTCGCACGGTGCGCAAGGCAAAACTCCATAGTGCGTTGGCGACAAAAATTCAAGATGCACTGTGCAAAAATGCAGTATAAGTGGCTTGAAGATCAGTCTGTCGGGAAAATAACGGCGGATCGTCGCGCCTCGAAATCGCCAATCATCGCTGTGCGACTGCAAGCCGCGGCTGGGGATTTGGTGCGCGACAGCGGCGAGGCGACCATTTTGATGCGACAATCCGCCGTTATTTTTCCGACAGACTGATAGTTACCATAAGGTTAACCAGGCATTTTAAATTTGTTTTCGAATTCATACATACTTGAAAAAAATTTAAATTTTTTTCGAGGAATTTTTCCCGCCACTGCTTGTGCATAAAATCGTATTACATTTCAAAAAAATTTCACTCCGCTTTCGCCAACCTTATCCGAATTCCTCGTCATTTACCATTAACCTTTTATGAGTCATTTTCTCGCTGCCATTTCTGGATAAGAAATCAAGGGCCGGCGACAATTTTGTCGAGAAATTTATGGGAAAAGGAAGGAAATTCTTTTATTTTTAGGTGAGAGGAAGCGGATCAGAAATATTTGAAAATTTATTTGTTAATTAGACTTTGTTAAGTAAATTAAAATTTTTTTTTCTGAATATTGCAAATTTTCTCTCTAAAAAATCGCTTATTTCCCCCCAAAAATTTGCGTCATAAACCTCCCAAAATTGGGCAATCACCTTCGCCGAAAGTGTTTTCCAAAAAGAATGTCCCAGTTGGTCGCAAAAAACAATGGCCAAACTTGAGGCAAGCGGACGTAATTAGGGAGGGTCTTGGCCTCGCACCTGCACTTGGAAGGGGCGTTGCGCAAATCTCAAGGCCCATGAAATCGAGATGGGACTTAATTTGGGCCGGAGAAAAGAGGTTTATGTAGTGGGGCAAGAGGGGATGCAATTTGGGCGCGTACAAAAGACATAAATCCGGGATGTAAAAGGGGGATTTTTGGCGATTTTTTTGGACAATGAAACCTCTGTAAATCCACTCTCCAAACAACGAAACCTTTCTGTAAAAGATAAGTTCTAGAAGCCCTAAGGGCCAAAGATACCCTATTCTTTACATCGTGCAATTTTTTTTTTATTTTTGAATTCCTCTTCGGTTGTGGGGCTTCTTCGGATTTTAGTGAGAATAAAAAAGGGGTTTCTTCGCTTTCCTTGATCCTTGTTTGTTTTGGTGGTCCCTTGTTTTTGAAAGATGTGCATAAAAATTAAATTCGCTGCAAAAGATATAAGAAGGAACGTACTTCTATGGGGTATGGAGTTACAGGTCGAGACATATATCACAAATTTGCAAAATTTCCCTGATTCGGAATCTTTAAAAATTAGCTGAGGACCGGAAGAACACAGTGGCCGAAATCGGCGTTATAAAAGACGCCGGGTATTCAAGTGCTTTACCGGAGGACATGGGATTAGGATATGTCGGGAAGGAGCTGGATTGTGTGTAGTGGGAGACAGGGGAGTCTATGTGGGGCAAACTACGAGAAAATATTGAGAAATATGCAAGTTTGTCGACAACTTTCTGTATGGATCGCACGTCAACCACCAAAAATTCTAGCCACGCGGTTTGCAGATGTAGCCCTATTTTTTCAATGAAAGTACTTCAATGGGGTATGGAGTTGCAGGTCAAGACATATATCAAAAAATTGCAAAATTTTCCTGATTCGGAATCTTTAAAAATTAGCTGCCCAATAGTGGTCTGTAAGGGCGAAAGAATCCTCAGAACTTTTCTTGCAACACCACGCAAATGCCCCTAAAAATCAAGTTTTTTTGCCTCCGGTTTAAATTGCAATTACAAGTTAAGGTGTAGTATTAATCAAATTTGGTATTGTAAGGCTTGTCAAGATACCCGGATTTATTTACTTTAGCTCAAAAACAAGCTTTTGATTTGGAAAAAATTTGATGATAAAAGCATTTGCGTGGTGTTGCGAGAAAAGTATTTTTTCGCCCTTACGAACCAAAATTGGGCAGCTAATTTTTACATATTCTGAATCCAAAAAATTCTGCATTTTTTTTTGATGTATGTCTCCACTTGTAACTCCACACCCCATAGAAGCAGTTTCCTTGAAAAAATGAAGGAAAAAGATCTCGGCTGCCTCTGCAAACCGCGTGGCTAGAATTTTTGGTAGCGGGCGTGCGATCATACAGAAAGTTGTCCATAAACTTACATATTTGTCAATATTTTCTCGTAGTTTGCCCCCACATAGACTCCCCTGTCTCCCACTACACACAATCCAGCTCCTTCCCGACATATCCTAATCCCATGTCCTCCGGCAAAACACTTGAATGCGCGACGTCTTTTATAACGCCGATTTCGGCCACTGTGTTCTTCCGGTCCTCCGCTTATGACAGTTTTTCGATTCAATTTCGCCGATTCCAAATTTCGCCCTCGATTTCATTTGTGGGGCCAAAATCGGGGACCAAGGAAATCAGGGGATTTGCGGGTTTATTTGAGGGTAAATTTGAATAAAAATTGGCGTTCTTACTGAAAATAGTATACTGTGTAATACATATATACATGTATAGGTCTGTCGGGAAAATAATGAGCACTCTGTCGCTGGAAAATCGCTGAAAAAATAAACTGTATCGCGACAAAATCAAATTTCTTTTTACTTTAGCGATCGGCACAGCGACCTTGTGGTCATTATTTTCCCGACAGACTAGGTATAAAAGGCTAGATACGTCGTGGAAAATCAACGAAAGGTTTCTACAGAAAATGGGGCGACTAAATGTGCTTATTCAAGTCATACCCTATTTTTCATTTTGAAAAATGTTTTCATCGTATGACATGTCACCTTTCATTTTTTATTTTGCATTTTTTTTTAATTTTGGGGGCTTCTTTGGTTCGGTTTTTTGTGAAAAGGTAAAAAGGGACCCTTCGTTTTGGGGGCCTCTTCATTTAGGGGGCGTCTTCGGTTGCGGGGCCTCTTCGGATTTTCGTTAAAATGAAAAAATGCCCTGCGTTTTAGGTGTTTATTTTTAGGGGGGGGCTCTTCGGTTGTGGGGCCTCTTCGAAATTCCGTGAAAATGAGAAAAGGGCCCTTCGCTTTGGGGGTCTATTTTTAGGGGGGCCTCTTCGGTTTTGGGGGGACTTCTGCGGATTTTCGTGAAAATGAGAAAAGAAGAATTTTTGGTTTGGGGGTCTGTTCGTTTTGGAGGCCTATTTTTGTGTGGCTCTTCATTTTGGGGCCTATTTTTGGGGGGCTCTTCATTTTTGGGGCCTATTTTTGTGGGGCTCTTCATTTTTGGGGCCTCTTCGGTCTCAGCCTGTCCAACCTTATCTGTCTCAACCGCATTTCCATGAGTCATGACCCGGGCCCGCCGCGTCCCCGTCCACGACCTCCAATTATCCGTCTTCCGCCCATAAAGCCCGCAAAACTGCTGAAAGGGGGGCGGGGCCGGCTCCAGTCGGATATTCTAATTTCCAGGCGCAAAAAGGCGGCCCTCAGCGATGGTCATTCTCCGTGCAACGCCACGAAAAACGCGAATATCATTTCTGGGATGCCCACGGGGAATGGAGGGAATTTTGAATGCCCTCGGGGCAATGCAGAAGGATGCGCTTGGAAGTGGGTCAGGAAGTGACAAAAAAATAAGTGCGGGTCCAGAAAAACGGCTCCAGATTTGCGAGATTTGAGCAGCGAGAATTTTGCGCCCTGCGGGCAGGAGTTTAATTAAGGTTGCGAAATTGAGCCAAAATTGGGAAAGGGGAGAAATTTGCGGTGGTTTCGCAATTTCGGAATGAATTTTTTGGCATTTTTGAGTTTAATTTGCATTAATTTTGGGTCTGAATTTTTTAAGATTTGAATATTCAAATTTTTATTTTTTTTGAATATTCAAATTTTCTACCTATTTTTTCGTAAGGCCATATTTTGTTTTTTTTTTGCATTTTCTATATTAATTTCATGAAATTTTCATCTGAATATTCTTGAAATTTGAATATTCAAAATTTTTTTGATTATTCAAATTTTTTTCCAAATTTGTTTTTGGTAAGGCCAAAATTTTTTTGCATTTTTCGTTTTATTTTCATCAATTTTCTCCCTGAATACTTTAAAGATTTGAATATTCAAATTTTTTAGTTTTTGAATATGCAAATTTTTTTGTAACGCCTAAATTTTTTAGCGTTTTCGGCCTTAATTTTGATAAATGTTCTCTTTGAAATTTTGGAAAATTTTTTAAAAAATCAAAAATTTTTTTTGAATATTCAATTATTTTACAAAAAATTTAATTTATAACTATTTTTTACCGCAAAAAATAAAAAAAAATTTTTTAATTCTCCAGCAATTTTTTTCCGGAAATTGAAACCGGAAGGGTCACTGCAAGGCTTCAAGGAGCCGAATTTTAGCCCCTATGCAAATCGTGGAGCGAAAAAGAAGGTTCAGGAAATTCAATTTCCCCCGGCGTTTCACGTGTTTTTTGTATAAAAAATTATGATTTTTATTTTCCCAGCGATTTTTTGGAATAAAATTTATGTATTTTTTGATTGTAAAATACGAAATATGATGGTTAATATCTACTATAATACTTTTTCAGCCCAGAATTTTCAATTTTCTTTTGATTTTACCGAAAAAATCCCGTTTTCCCCACATTTTTTGTTTATTTTTGTTTGTTGTTCCGCCGATTGGTTCCAAAAAAGTCGCGCGATTGCGTACAAAGGCGTCGTTTTATCGGGGGATCTTCCCGATTTTCCGGATTTTGTTAATCTCCCCGACAAAATCAACAATTTTCTATTGTGTTTTTTCACGATTTCCAAAAAAATTTTTTTTTTAATTTTTCCAAAAAATCCCAAATTTTAGCTGGCGAAAAAATTATCAAGTGCCAAAAATCCGCAGCTTGGATGAATGCCGCCGCACTCGAGCGCATCCAACCCCACTTCAGGCGCACTCCGCACCCACAATCGAACACCTGTCACGCCAAATTCGGGCCCAAATTCGCCCAAAACGCATGGTAAGTCGGGGCGAAGCGGCTGGGTTTGGAGGCGTCCTGAGGGCCGGTAAATACATTTGGATGTATTTATTGACCTGTAAATGTGATATTAAGGCGTTTAGAGAGCAATTTTTGAAAAATTTTTTTTTTGAAAAAAAAAATTTTGGAAAAAAATTTTTGGATTAAAACGGGATTTTTTGAATTTTTTAGCGATTTTAGGCTCGCGATTTGCAAAAACTTTCGAGTTTTTACTTTTAAATGCTTGAAAGTACCATTTATAAAATTTCTTTTTGAATATTGCAATTTGAATTTTTTTTTCTATTGTTTACAGAGTAATTTTTGAAAAAAAAGAATTTCAAAAAAAAAATTTTTGAAAAAAAAAAATTTTTTGAAAAAAAAAATTTGAAAAAATTTTTTGATTAAAACGGGATTTTTAAATTTTTTTTGCGATTTTTAGGCTTTCAGTTTTCAAAAACTCTTGATTTTACACTTGTAAATCTTTGAAAACACCATTTTTTAAAAATTTTCAATTTGAAAAAAAAAATTTTTTTCTTGGTTTTTCTATAAAAAATCAATTTTTTCTAAAAAAAATAAAAGAAAATCTCATAATTTTTATCCCCATCCCTCCCCTTATGATGACTTTTCCAGAAAATGCTGACAAATCGCTGAAATCCCCCGAAAACTCATCAGATTTTGGACCTTCCTCCAGCCTAGATGTCCCATCCGTAACATCCAAAAAATACCCCGTAAAACCGACAGCTTCTAACTCAATTTCCCCATCAACAATGTTCCGGATATTCCTTCTCTTCGGCCTCCTCAGCAACTCCCATTCCCATCAACTGTTCCCCGAGATCAGCGAGAATTTCGTCTGTCAGCCCTGTTCGCATCCGCTGAATGGGATTGCAATAAAGTTGCCGCAGAACCACGCTCCCTGCGTGCATCCGGGACAGCCGGTTTTTGAGTGGCCACGTGGGCGCAAGTGCGCGATTCCGAGCGACTTTTTCAGCGACGATGTTTCGTTTGATCCCGAGAAATTGATGGTGTTCTCCAAGCGGAGGGTGTGCTTTTACTCCGGCGAATGGACGATATCGTATAGGTTCCGGTGCGAGCTGGATGAAGGAGCGGCTTGGCAATGGAGTCAGTTGAGGGTTGGGCATGAGGTAAGGGGGTTTTGGGAGGGTTTTTGAAAAGTCTTGGCTTTGAAATGACTTCGAAATTTTTGAAAAAAACTATATCTTTTGTCTGGCAGACTCTCTTCATTCTGCACTCTCAAAAAATAATATCACTGAATATACGGCTCAAGACTAAAAAATCTCTGTGTGTCCAGAAAATGTGTCATGATGACATCCCTTTAAAATGTGCCAAAGATATAAACAACAACTGTATAGGACAAGAAATACTACTAAAGAAATACGTGTAATATCCACACAAAAAATGAGTTTAAAACTTTTGAAATGCCCAATTTGGATGACTTATTTTATGGATTATTCTGGATTTTTTCGCGGTGAGAAACTTTGCAGTGCCTGAAATTTTTTGGATTTTCTCTGGAGGCACTCCTAGCCAAATACAGTTGTTGATTATGCCACTGGCATATCTTTAATGTGTGTCATCGCGACACATTTTCTGGACACACAAAGATTTGTAATTCCCAGTATATCTCAATACATCTCAGTTGCTGTTGAAAAAACCAGGATAACATTTTTTGCAAATGATTTGCAGCTAATTTAAAAAAATGCATGGATTTAGTCATCATTTTTTATACCTATTATGTACTCTTTGTCTAGTCAAAACTTGCCTTCCTAACACTTCCTCTATGTTCCCATATGGCTCTCTAGATTCGATAATTACCATAAATTCCTTTAGCGCTTCTCCCTCCAACGACGTGTGAAGCGTTGGCTGAAGCGACGCAATCCCAAGCATTCTCCCATCCATTTCCAACAAGATCGATATGTCGCCGAAATCCGGGAGGACATTGAGATCCGATCGACTGTGCTGAAAGTGCATGCTACTCATGCCAACAATCAACCATTATATTATACATTATCAGCGCCGGAAGACCAACGCTCCGCGGATTTGTTCGCGTTGGACACAGTTACTGGTACAGTCATTTTTTTGCGTATATGTATCGTGTTGTAGGTGAGATTCGAGTGGCAAAAAAGCTGGATAGAGAGACCTTGGCCAGACATGTGCTGAAGCTGAGCGCCTACGAAAGGCTGGATCCACAAGTTACGGCGACAACTACGGTCGTTGTCGATCTTATTGATGTTCAAGATAACCGACCGATATTTGAGAAACAGAATTATTACGCCGATATTCGAGAGGATGCGTCGGTAAGAATTTTCATGCAATATCCTTTTCCTAAGCTTGCAGCTTTGCGAAGAAAACAAGGCAAACCGTATTTTACCCCTAAAAATTGTGCCTTTAGCAATGACAGCATAACATGTAATAATAATTCTGACACAAGCCTTTGTTTTTGTGTAGATTTGGCTCAAATTTCAGCCAGCAATACATCAGTCTGTCGGGGAAATAATAAGCACTCTGTCGCATCGAAAATCGCATCACCGACGAGAAAATGAATTGTGTTGCGGCAAAATCAAATGGCCTTTCTCTTGGTGATCAGCACAGCGAAATTGTGCTCATTATTTTCCCGATAGACTGATATGTCACCCTCCACATTTCTGTACTTTTGCCGGTAGACACCGTAGAACATCTTTGTAGAGACGTAAAATGACAAGCTAATCCCTTTATAAATTATGACTAGCCAATGCGCGAAAACTTCGTAGAAAATACGAGGGTCTGCCTTTTAGAACTTTCTTGGGTCGCAAAAATAAAATGACAAAACATGAGTCTTACTCCAAACCCTGATTTTATAACTGAGCTCAGAATTTTCAAAGGTAGCTTGTCGGGAAAATAATGAGCGTCGCTGCGCCAATCGCGTCGCTGAAGTGAAAAGCAATTTGATTTTGTCATATCACAATTCATTTTTTCTGCGGAGGTGCGATTTTCGATGCAACTGAAGGCTCATTATTTTCCCGACAGACTGATATATTTGTAAGATTAATTTGATGACATTTTACTATAGTCCCCTTTTCAGATTAGCACAACCGTTCTCTCAGTGTTCGCCCGAGACCTAGACGCCGGCCAAAACGGAGAGATCACCTACACGCTGCAAGGCGACGAACAATATCTCAAAATGTTCTCAATCAACCCGACCAGCGGCGTAATTCAAACAATTGCCGAGTTGGACCGGGAAATTGTAAATTCAGTGCGAATTAAAGCCGTTGCAACGGACCATGGGGAGCCTGCAATGTCTTCCGAAGCCGGCGTTGAGATCAACATCTTGGATGTGAACGACAACTCGCCGATTTTCGACAAACCCTCGTACAACGTCACCATCAACGAGAATGTCACGATTCCGTTGATGATTTTGAAGATTACTGCGACGGATGCGGACTCTGGCGCGAATGGCGAGGTGCACTACTCGATTGTGACTTCCTCAAGTTTGGGCCTATTCTCGCTGGACTACGACTCGGGGGAGCTGACGTTGCGCGCTGCGCCAGACCCACGACAAACTCCGTATTCGATTTTGGTGAGGGCCAAAGATGGGGGCCAGCCAGCCATGTCCACAACCGCTCATGTGACGGTAAATATCGTCGATATCAACGATCATGCGCCCACGTTTTTGGGCGCAACCTCTCATGAGATCAATGTGGAGGAGAACTTGCCCGCAGGGCGAGAATTGGGGCGTCTCTTCGCAATGGACGAGGACTCCGGGAAGAACGGGGAAGTCCGCTATTTTCTCAAGAATCTTGATGAAAATTCAAATGAGACTGATGCGGTTGTGATCGATGAAATCTCGGGAGCGCTGCGGACAAACATCATGCTGGATCGCGAGCTCAAGTCACGCTATGAATACAAAATTATCGCCAAAGACCAGGGCGAGCCTCCGTTGGAGACGTCGATTCAGCTGACCGTCACAGTCATCGATGTGAACGACAATGCCCCCAAATTTGAGAAGGACACCTACGAACTCACCATGAGCGAGAACTCCCCGAAAGGAACGCAGATCCTCGATTTAAGAGCCACTGATGCCGACGCGGATCAACAGCTCAGCTATCGGATAGAGAGCGCGGACAAACCGCTGTTCGCGTTGATTTCTATGGGCGCGGATCAGGGCGCAGTGCTGTCGTTGACGCAGAGCTTCAGCCCGTTGGATGAGAGGATAAAATTGGTGATCTCGGCGACGGATCAGGGAGGATTGAAGGTAGGAATGATATATTATAATAGTTTGTCCAAGAAATAATGTCGTTTCCAAGAGGGGCAGTTTCTAAAGTCTATAAAAAAGGTAAACGACAATAAAATTTCGCAATATTGCACCGTTTTGTAGCCGAAAACGCAAGCTTTCGTTCTATATATCATTTGCTATATTTGGGTTAAATTACAGTAATTTAGCCCTAATCGAAAATTATCGAAAGCTGGACCTTTTGTAGGAGGTTTTTGAGGCCTTTGCGGAGAGTATTAATAAGATTTTTAGGTCGAAAAAATAAATTTTTTTATTTGATATGGCTGCTTGTGTAAAGCGCAAGCAAAAAATCAGGAAAATTTCAGTCTGTCGGGAAAATAATGAGCAATCTGTCGCATCGAAAATCGCATCGAAAATGAATCGTGTCGCTGCAAAATCAAGTTTTTTTTTCACTTCAGCGACTCAATCGGCCCAGCGAAAGATTCCTCATTATTTTCCCGACAAACTATCCTAGAAAATTCTAAGCTCAATTAAAAAAATTTTCAGGGCTTCACGAATGTGACGATCACCATAACCGACGAGAATAGCGCTCCAGTTTTTGTCGACACTCCCGTCAGCGTCAAGGTGTCCGAATCGGCGGAAATCGGATCTCCGGTCGTCCAAATCAAGGCCAGAGACAATGATCGCGGCGCCAATTCGGAGCTGATTTTTTCCATCGACTCGGCCGACTTTTTGTAAGCGTTTTTTTGGATTTTTTTATCGTAAAGTAATATTTATTATAAATTTCAAATTTTTTTTAGAATTGACAACTCTACCGGTCTTATTACTCTGGCCAAGCGATTGGATCGAGAAGCCAAAGCGTCGTATTCGATGACGGTTACGGTAACTGACAGTGGAGTGCCTCCGATGAGTTCATCGACTGTTTTGGAGATTTTCGTCGAGGATGGTAGGAGATTTTTGAATTTTTTTGTGTAAACTATAGTAGTAGATACGATATGGAAACCTCTCAAAAAAATTTTAACAAAAAACAAAAAAATTTTTTTTGTCATTGCAAAATCTCTCAAACTGTAAAATACGGAGCGGTGTCGTTTCTTTTTTATTTTTTATGCTAACTATAGCACCTTTTTCTATTCAAATTTACCGCCTTCTATTTATTTTGGCGTTTTTATTTGTTCTTTTGTCCGGAAATTTTATAATAGGCGGCTTGCCAAGGCAAAAAAAAACTCTGCAACCTATCAAAAATAGGTCATTATTCAAATTTTATGCAAATTTTTGAAATTTAAATAATTTTTCAAAATATGCAAATTTTTGAAATTTACATAATTTGTAAAAATATGCAAATTTTTCGTCATGAAAATACCGGACAATACTATTTTTTAATTAAAATTTATTTTTTTTTCGCTACTTTATTTATTATTCTCGACACGACAATATCCAATATTGTCCAATTAGGCGATCCGCGCCCTTCTTTTCCCAATAGAAGTGGCCGGAAAAACAAATCGCGAATAATGAAAGACGCTGGGCGGATTATTATAATTCGTCCGTATGTCAATAATTTAGCTTGTTAGAGGCTCGGAAATAATTGAGGGAAGGATTGGAAGATTTGGAAAAAAATTAAGAAATTTGGAAAATTTGCATAAGATTCTTCAAGTTTGCTCAATGAAATTTCCATAAATTTTCGTTTTTTTAAAAAATTTCTTAAAATAGCTTTTTTCATTTTTGCAAAGGTCCAATTCCCCCATGAAAATTACTTATTCTCCCTTTGCTTCCAAATTCCATGGCCAATTCCTCACACGGCCAACCCGAAAAAAGTGACCGGAAAAGTGAGCATTCATCAACTTCACGCAAATTATGAATTGACTGCTGAAAATGGCCCAATTTTCGTGGCCCTTTTTTTGTCTTTAGCTGCCAACATAACGGAGCCGAAAGCGTGTTAAATTTGCGGCGAAAAAAGCGCTGAATGAATGACCAAATGAAGGGGAAGAATGGACGCAAAAGCGGGGCGATTCAAGAGGGTTTTTGGGGAGAAATTGAGAAAAAAATGCGCAATTTTGAGGGAGAATATAAAGCGGGAGATAAAAGATTTTCTGAAAAATTTCCGGAAATTTTCGATTTCGGAGAGTCAAAAAACATTCTTACTCCGAACGACAAATTTTTGGAAAGTTGGATCAAAAATGGCTCGCCAAAAGGTCGATCCGCAAAGTTGAAACAAAAATGGCTCGCCCATTTTGGCTGGTGAGTAGGATGCCGTTTTTACTCACCTGCACGCCAATTTATTTTCTTCAAAACTATTTTTGCGAGCTGCGCCCGGGAATTCCAGATGTGTCAAATTTCTCTCTCCCGGAAGAAACGTTTTGATTTTTTTTGAAGTTGTGAATCTATTTTCTCCACGAAGATGGGCTGAAAAGTGATCAAGTAAGTTAGCATTAGCAAGAGGAGATGTACTTTTTTCGTTTGACACCAAAAATTTTCCTTTTATTTCAGAGAAAGGTACAAATTTTTTCCAATTCGTAAAGATTCATGACCATGGATAATGTAAGTGCGCTTATCGCGTTTTTTGTTCCGTTATTGGAGTTAACAGTTCTAGGCTGGCGAGTTCTAGAGGACACCTCACTTTAGTTTTGTTATATACTCTATCTATCAAACGCCACCAATTTCGATTTCTAGGTGTCATGTACAATATCGAAATCCGCTCAGATCTGCCGGATTTTTGCCACGAATGCGTTCTAAACTGAGGTAATAACGTAATAAGGCTCAAATAACGTTGTTACAATAACTTGAAGATAGTTTGCATAGGTTTTACTTTAGTATAACATACTTTTGGAAAGTTAGTATAGTATTTGAAATTTTTACGTCGTTATTCCTCAAAATTTATGGGGTTTCATACATGGAGAATATACATGAGAGTGGGGTCTCCTCTAAACGTTTCCCGACTTAGAATCTTGACGTCGTAGCAAAAAAGGAGATAATCTCACTTACATTATCCATGGTCATGAAGCTTTACGAATTGGAAAAATTTTGTACCTTTCTCTGAAATAAAATGGAAATTTTTGATGTCAAATGAAAAACGTACATCTCCTCTTGCCAATGCTAACTTACTTGATCACTTTCCAGCCCATCTTCGTGGAGAACATAGCTTCACAACGTCGCACAAACGTAAAAATAATTTTTTCGGAAGAGAAAAACTTGACACATCAGGGAAAGACTTGGCATCAACCTTGCAACCTGCAGACTGCAGTGCGGGGCCAAAAAGAGGAATAAAGTAAAAACAAGCTCTGACTTTCGGCGACTCCGAGCGGGGAGTAAGATCCGGTCCTACTCCCGACCTTGAAGTCGGAAAGCCAGAAACAAAATTGACTTTCTTTTGCATTTTCCTTGAAGTAAACTGAAAATTTACTTTTTTTTTAAAAAAAAAGTAAAAACAGAAAAATTTCAAAAATTTTTCAGAAAATCTTTTATCTCCCGCTTTATATAAAAAAATAAGCAAAAAAATTGGAGATCGTAGTTTATCTTGGCTCTTTGCTAGACCGTTCGCAAAGTTGCTGGAGTGGTTTGGCGACTTCTTTTGTGAAAACAAAGGCTTGTTTTGCACTCTGCAATATCTTGATTTTTGCACCGTGCAGTAGGCTTGTTTTGGGCTGTCGCTGGCACCCTGAAGCCCTGATAAAGCCTTAGGTAGGACTTTGCAGAAATTTTCAATATTTTTAGGTCGAAAGCCGGGGAAAATTCGAAACTCTTGACCGATTTTTGGGGTTACCAGCCTTCTTTTTATTGCAGTAGAGACTTTTTTATCACAAAAGATAAGTTTTTCCCCCCGAAATTCGTGAGGATACTAGAGAAACCTTGTTTTCTCTTACTATTCTCCTCATTTCCTGCACTGTCTCGTCCGCAAAGCGCATTGAAATTTATGTCTGCTCCTGAAAAACGCAAGCCACAACTTGACATTAAAAAATCGCATTTGTAGAGCCAAAAATATCTCGGTTTTTAATGTCGCTGCGCCGATCGCATCGCTGAAGAAAAAGCAATTTGATTTTGCCGCGACACAATTCATTTTCTCGGCGGCGATGCAATTTTCTATGCGACAGAATTGTTATTATTTTCCCGACAGACTTAGTGTCCATGTTCTTTCTCTTCGTTCTACTCTGTAGTATGCCCTATCCATGACACTACATGGCGCATGGCAAATAGATTTGGGTTTCTGTTTCCCCTTCCTTTTTGGCTCTTTAGAAATGGCCGGATATTTGACGACATGCGTCAAACGCGCGGCGCGCGCAAATTTCGGAAATTGAATCGGACGCTTTGAATGGGGCCAAATAGGAAATAGGGCCGAGTTCATAAAACATTGGGGCGAAATGTTACACTGTTTGCTTTTGAATGGCAAATTTGGGTTATTATGTAATGGCTGGAAATACATAATAAACGGTGAAAAGGTAGACAGTGCCTAATAGGGGGAGAGCAACAGTAAAATTTTTGCGAAATGTGCGAAAACAAAAGTTTGATTTCCACTCTGCAATTTCTTGCTTTTTGCACCGTGCAATACGCTTTTTTTGGCTGTCGCTAAGCATGGCTGCAAACCTGGCCAGGCCGGCCCGGCCCGGTCCGGCCCGGGCCTGCGGGCCAGGCCTAAATATTCAAGCCCGGCCCGGCCCGGGCTTGGAAAATTTGGAAAGCCCGGCCCGGTTCGGCCCGGAAAATTTTTATACTAGGCTGGAAAGAAACAAAGTAGGTAATGAAGGGGAAATTATGGCAAATTTTTGTAAAATGTAAAGAATAATTTAGCAAAACCTATACATAAGTAGTGCCTGAAAATCGAAGCCCGGGGGCGGGCCGAGGAATTAGTCGGCCCGGCCCGGGCCGGAAAATTTTGGAAACCCCGGCCCGGAGCCATGCCTAGCTGTCGCTCAGACCCTGATTTCGCACACTAAAAACGTGAAAAATCATCGCAGCGACTTTGCAGAACGATTATCGGTCTGTCGGGAAAATAATGATCACTCTGCCGAAACACATGCAGGCTTTGCTTTGAGTATATTTGGCTCAAATTTCAGTGAAGTCTTGCTAAGAAATTTCTTACGGCAATATATCAGTCTGTCGGGAAAATAATGAGCGCTCTGTCGCGTCAAAAATCGCACCGCCGCAGGGAAAATGAATCGTGTCGCGGAGAAAATCAAATTGTTTTTCTCAACGACGCGATTGGAGCTGCGGAATTTTGATCATTATTTTCCCGACAGACTTATTCATACTCACAATGCAAACTCCAATAAGCTGCCGGCCAAATTTTTTAAAAGTTGTACCAACTTTTCATTAAATTTATAGCGTGGTATCTTGTCTATTGCATCCTTATATTCAAAGCCCATCCGAATTGAAGCTTTTAGCGCGCCTTTAGCGACATTTTTTTAATCAAATGCTCATCCCTGGAGACCCGATGAGCGCAAATAATTTCACTTTGCCAAGCGGCTTTTTGAGGGCAAAATCTGAGGGTTTTTGTGTGTCAGCGAGTGCCAGGAAATGGGAAGATATTTGAATAGAAAAATTTTGAAAAATTTGTAAAATACGAAAAGAAAAATAAAAACCATTTTTTTGCCTAAAATGCCATTCAAAAAAAAAATAAAAAAAAAATAAAATAAAAAGACGTCAAAAAAATTAATTTCTTTTTTTTTTGAATTTTTTTTCGGAAAATTCCCTCAGGGGATTTTGATTTACATATAAATTAAAAATCTTGGAACTTGCGAATTTTTTTTATAAAATAACTTTTTTTCTGTGCGGTGTAAAAAGGCAAAATACGCATTAATTTTTTTAGCCAATAGGAGCCTACTCCAATTTCAACATATTCTTTTTCCCGTTTCAATTTCGACATTATCCGTAATGGCCGCGAAATGACCCTTCTAATTAGGCTGCCGCTGACTTTCACTCAGCTGGCTACTCTCTGAAAATTTTCTAAAAATGAGGGCGGATGAAATGCGAAAAAATTTTGGGGAAATATTGAGTTAGGGAGCAAAAATTTTAAAAAAAATTTAAAAAATTTTAAAAAAAAATTTACAAGGAAAGTACTTTTATGGGGGCTCCTACTTTTTGACGGGACATATCTCAAAAAATCAGAAAAAATGCGCTGATCAAGGATATATAAATCTTAGCTGCCCATTTTAGGTTTTTAAGGGTGAAAATGCCCAAAAACTGGTTTAATTCCCCTACAAAAGGCAGACATTCGAAACGATAAAAAGAGCACTCGATCTCTTCCTTCGGAAGAGAGCGGTGTGGCCGAGTGGTTAGTGCCGTAGTCTGGGAATCAAGAGGGGGGACGCCGCACAGGTTCGATTTCCCTTTTGGGCTGAATCAACTTTTTTGAAGTTGAAGGTCGGAAAAATAAATTTTTGGGCCAAGACTGTCTTATTACGTCTTAAAAACTCAATAAACACCATTTTAAGCCAAAATAAAAATTGTAAACCTTTGAAAAAATTAAGCGGAAAGGGGTTCATGTAGGACTTTAAGTCAACTTCCGACTGAGTTTTCACCCCTAAAAACCTAAAATGGGCAGCTAAGATCTATATATTCTTGATCAGCACATTTTTTCTGATTTTTTGAGATATGTCCCGTCAAAAAGTAGGAGCCCCCATAAAAGTACTTTCCTTGTTAAAAAAATATAAAATTTTTAAAAAAATTTAAAAAAATAAAAAAAAAAATATAAAATTTCAAAAAAAAATTAAAAAAAATAAAAAAAAATATAAAATTTTTCTCTTTAGAGACAAAAAATGGATTGTAAAAATAAAAAAATCGAAAAAAATAAAAAAAAAAAGGATTTGAAAAATTATGATAGCACTCTGTCGGGAAAATAATAAGCAGACTGCCAAGCACTTGAACAGGAAACTAAGTTATAAGAATTGACCAGAATGTGGTATCAAAAAATGGCATCAAAGCATGCTGAAGGAAACAGGAAGCTCAAAAAATGCCTTCAAAAAGCTCGAGGTGCAATATCAATCTGTCGGGAAAATAATGAGCACAATAAATTGCAAGTGAAAAGCAATTTGACTTTATCGCGACACTATTCATTTTCTCGCCGGCGATGCGACTTTCCATGCGACAGAGTGCTCATTATTTTTCCGACAGAAATTTTAAAAACCAAAAAAATATTTTTTTTGAACTCAAAAAATAAAAAAAAATTAAAAAATCCCATTTTCAGTCAACGACAATGCCCCAAAGTTCCTCCTCACGGAATACACCGCCCGAATCAAGGAGGACATGCCGGTGGGGACCAGTTTTCTCCAAGTCCAAGCGATTGATCCGGACGAGGGCCAGAACGGAGTGGTCGATTATTTTTTGAACGAGACCGACCAATTCGTCAAGTTGGATGCCTTTAGACTTGATCGGACTTCTGGGCTGTTGAGAATTCATAAGCCGCTGGATCGAGAGAGCAATGAAAAGTAGGTTGAGCAAAAAATTTGTATGTGGAGTTGTTGGAAGTTCATCAGTCGATAAGAGTATGACGAAAAATACAGTAGAAACAAGCAATGAATGAGGCATATCTTACAGGGGAAGTACTGTGTAGGTTACCCTTTTCTGAAAAAAAAAACTTTTTGTGAAATGTATTCGCTTCAGAAGTAAAAAAAAAGAAAGATTTTTTATGAAAATCTGAACAAATGTTGAAATTTTTACGCTTCGTGACTGTTGCGACGCTCAGATTTTCTTGAGATTTTTCACACATTTCGAGAATAGGCCACATATCAATTCCTGAAAACCTTAACTCGCGACTTGCAGATACTATCAAGATATTAACCGACCTTTGCTGCCGAGACAGTATGCTAAATGTGGAGAAAGGCCAGAGAGAAAAACACCTTTTTTGGCCATAGCTTTGCTAGTTTCGTGCTGAAAAAATTGATTTTTTTGTGGAAACGTTGCCCTTTACGGTAAAAATAGGCATGAAACTTTTCGTGCCGAGATTCGGCCAAAAGTGTCAAATTTTCGCCAAATTTCGATCTAAAAATCTCGGTCGTTTCTGCAAAACGCGAGCTAGGATTCTCGCACAAATTTTATAATACAAGAACATTTCTTTTTTAGAAAGAATTTTTCGAAATTTGTCCCAAGTTTGATCCAAATCTGAGCGTCGCACTTGGGTACTTCCCCTGTAAGTTTAGGCGAAATTTGTTCAAAATTACGATCCCTTTACTCATATCGCATTAAAAGGTATTTCCCAAGTTCGTACCCAGTATCCTTCTAAGCTCGAAAAGGGCGTCTTTTGTGATAAAACCCCAACGATAAGAGCCCTTGGGCGAGGAAGGCGGTCGCTTACCGTTACTACCTTTTCGTCGGCGCACCATTTCACAACTCCGCGAAAAATAGGCTCAAAATAATGAAGTTACAAGTCTGGATCAAGGCATATCCGATTTTTAACTGGGAGCTCGTTTTTATTATATTTTACCCTCGTTTTTCAGACACATTCTCCCAGTGATTGCGCAAGACCGCGGGAACCCGCAACAGATTTCTCACGCCACCGTGACCATTGAGCTCGAAGATGTGAATGACAATGCTCCTCAATTCGAAAAACCCTCATATTCTTTGTGGATCGCCGAAAACTCCCCGATCGGCACAATTGTGGGCACATTGGTGGCCACTGACGCGGATATTGGGCCCAACTCTCACATTGACTTCAAGATTTTCGGAGGCTCCGATGCGAAGCTGTTCGAGATCGAGACGGACCCACAGCAGAATGGCGTGGTGAGGATACGGTCGAGAGCCGAGTTCGATTACGAAGCCAAAAACAACAAGTTTTTTGTGGAACTACAGGCGTCAAGGTGAGAATTTGGGCGAAAAGATGGCAAGGAATAAAAAAGAAGAGAATATCAGTTTGTCGGGAAAATAATGAGCAGTCTATCGCACCGAAAATCGCTTCGCCGACGAAGGGATATTGTGCTTATTATTTTCCCGACAACTGATACAAAGAAATCTCTATTGCACTATCAGTGTGTCGGGAAAATAATGTGGATTTATAACGCCTTCCAAGTGGCCATCATCGCTTCGCAGCGGCCAGGTCGGAGATTTGGCGCGCACCGCGAAGAGGCGAGAAATTTTCCTGCGATAAGCCCTCATTATTTTCCCGACATACTGATACAATAAAACACTTATATTTACCGCTGATAAATGCTCAAAGAAAGCCTCCAAATGCAGATCGTTCAGAATAATGTTCGCTATTGTAGAGGGAGGTATTTTGCCACATTTTTGATACTTCCCGGATGCAAAATTATACGTTTTTTGCTTATGAATCAGGTGCCTCACTGTAGCTCGTTTTCACGACTTAGCTATGAGTCGTGGTATAAGATGACCCTTAACTTGCCCGCTACTACTAGTATTCACTTCCCCCTGATAACCCGGAGACACAAACTAGAGGACGCTGGCAATAAAACTGTGAACTCACGATATTGACTCCAATTAGTTTCTACCACCACCGCACTATCACAAGGCCTTGCAAGGGGACTTCCAATAATTACCACAAATATATTTATTTCACCAACGAGAGTCTGACCGAAAAGCGGTCGATCCATTACATTTATATCAAAATATTCGTGTTTATGCTAATTTCTGGGAATTCTTCACGGAATCGTGACATCTTGAGATCATAATTTCTTTATCCTTTTCAATTCCAGCGGACAACTCAGCTCCACCGTCCCAATCACTATTCACGTCAGCGATGTGAACGACAACAAGCCGCAACTCAACGACTTTGTCGTTCTCGTCGCCCACTTTGAGGATGAGATCAGTGACAGTGCAAGTATCGGGAGTGTTCCTGCTTTGTAAGTGGCATTTTCAAGGCTTACCATATTCATTTTTTTAGTGATCCCGATCAAAACGCAACTCTTGAGTTCTATTTGGAACCCAACCAGTTGTTGGACGTGGAGCCATTTAGTGGCGCGTTGAGGTTGAAGGGCCATTGGAAAAGGCAGTTGAACGCGGAGAACAAGGCGTGTGTTTCGGGTAAGGATCATGTAACTTTGACGCAAAAATTTTAGCAGTAGTTGTAAAATACGTTGTAAGATACGATATTACTGTCAAACCTCTGTACAACAAATCGCAAAGGAACAAAAAATATAGCAGAAAAAATGTTTCTGCTGATATACAGTATCAGTACGGTGCTCTTGGGTCAACTGTAGAGGGGAACAGTTGACCCAAATGGTCGGGGAAAGACTTGACTCGATCATTCCGTTTCCTCTTTTTATGCGTAAACAAATTGGAGCGCTTCTTGCTTGATATAGCTCAAAACTTACAAATGTTTGAAACTTATAAATCTTAGGGTGTCCAGAAAATGTGTCATGATGACACCAGTTTAAGATGTTCCAGCGGTATAGAAAACGGTTGTATATGGCTAGCAGCACTGTTTACAGTACCCACAAAAAAATTTTCGGCTCAAACCTTTTGCAATGCACAATTTGAATGACGGATTTTCTGGACTTCTCCAGATTTTTTGGCGGCGCGAATTTTTGCAGTGCCCGAATTTTTTTGACAAGCTCTATTGAGTACTCCTAGCCATATACAGTTGTTTTTTAAACCACTAGCACATTTTAAATGGGTGTCATCGTGACACATTTTCTGGAAGACACTAAAATTTATACGTTTCAAAGATTTGTAAGTTTTGAGCTATATCAAGAAGGACTCCAATTTTTTACGCGTAAAAATGGCAAAGGAATGATCGAGTCAAGTGTTTCCCCGACCATTTGGGTCAACTGTTCCCCTCTACAGTTGACCCAGGATCGCCATACTAATACAGCAGAAAACCCCGGTTTCGATCTAATAAGGTTCATTTTGGCCTAGAATTCACTTTTTCCGAAATTGTTTGCTATAGCCAGTCTTTGCTATAAAAGGTTTTTTGTCCAGAAAATTGTCTGAATTCATCCCGTATTTTACCAAAAAAAATTATAAAATCATTACGTAACAACTTTTTCAGACGGTCCCAACACAGTTTGCGCGACGGCCCGCATAATCTACGTCGCCGTGGACGAAAATTCCCTTCGGAATTCGGTTTCATTCGAGATTTTGGACATGAATCGCGACTCGTTTTTGGAGAGCGCAACCTTTGATCGATTCATTGCCTCAATTACTGCGTTGGATCAGAGTTGGTTGCCGGAGGATGTGCGCGTTTTCGGCGTGGAATCGGTGGAGGTGAATGGAAAACAACGGCTGAATGTCAGCCTGTTTGTTAGTCAGGACGAAATGGCTGTGAAGTGAGTCTTTTAGATCTATTGGATCAACTGTATGACCTGTAAAAATTGTGATGAAATCAAGACCTTTGGCTTACTTTTTGAAGAAACTATGGGGATTTTTGGTCAAAAAATACCACTGCTTTTGAAATTTTCTAAATGACATTTTTCCAATCGCAAAAAACGTACCATTTTGCATCCAGGAAGTATCAAAAATGTGGCAAAATGCTTCCTGCTTTCCCTCACAAAAAGAACGTTTTTGCCGCTGTATGAGATTTGTCTGTTATTGGCCGTTCGATCTTTGAACTCCTCTCTTTTCATTTCGCCTTTTAACTTCATTAGGTTCGAACGTCAGATGTGCTCGCGGATTAAGAGACTGTCCAAATTACAGGCTGCGAAGTGCGCTGTTGCGTAATAAATACACTCAAGAGAGGGGTCTTGGGGATAAGTGCGGGAAATTGATGGGACAGATGATGGATTAGGGCTAATAGGGTTACAATTGAGGGGTTAGTGCAAAGTTGGAGTGAGGGAAAGTAAAAAAAGGAGTAGAAAAGTATAAAAAAGAATAAAAAATTTAAAAATTTAAAAAAAAATTAAATAAAACATAAAAAATCAAATTTTTAGTCCCCACCGAATCGAATCGGCCGACCAAACCGCGCTCAGCGCCTCATTCGATCACCCGATTCGCATCCTCAAGGATGATATGTGTGTCAACGAGCCTTGCGCGTTCTATCAACAGTGTCGACGGACCCTTCGTTACGACAAAACTCAACCGGCGTTGGCTTTCGAAACCGACAACTTTCTGTTCCGTTCGCTGGCCACAATTCGGTCATTCAAATGCGAGTGTCCTCAAGGCTTTACGAGTGAGTTTTTTTATTTTTTTTTTGGAAATTTCAACGGCCGTATTTTACAAAATAAATTTTTTTTGAAAAATTTTTTTTTGGTTTTTAAAATACTTTTTAGCTTTTTTGAAATCCCGTTTTTAGCCAGTCCAACCAAGCCTGGCGTCTGTAACGAGCGTTTGGACTTGTGCTTCAACAATCCTTGTCTGAATAATGGAAGTTGTGTCTCGTTGGAGAGCTCGTATCGATGCGAATGCCCAGCGGGAAGGATAGGTAGGAATATTTTATCAAATTTTTTATCAATCTGTCGGGAAAATAATGAGCAAAATGTTGCTTGGACTTGTGCAATGTGTCTGAAAGAATTCGCAAAATCTCGGAATTCTTTGGAGTATGAAGCTGTCGGGAAAATAATGTGGATCCATCGCGCCTTGAAATGGCCTGTCGTCTTGCCGTAGCTAGAATTTTTGCACGAGGCGAGACAGTTTGCTGCGACAAACCCACATTATTTTCCCGACAGAATGATACCTCTAAAAAATTCTTTTGAAATCTACAGTGACGGACCTAATTCAGTGGCAAAAAAAGTATCATTTTGGATCCGGGAAGTATCAAAAAATGTGGCAAAATGCCTCCCTCTCCAACTCAAAAAACTCCATTTTGAAGGGCTCCCTCACAAAAAGAGCGGGCGCGCTTTTGAAATCGGATTTTTTTACTTGGAGAGGGAGGTATTTTGCCACATTTTTGATACCTTCCGGAGGCAAAATGGTACGTTTTTTCCACTGGGTCAGGTCCGCCATTGTATACCTCTTAAAAGAGCTATTAGAAAACTTTATAAATCTGCTTTAGGCAAGCACTGCGAGCTCTCCGAAAAAGTGGACACTTGCCTTCCCAACTACTGCCATTCCGGTGCCCAATGCGATCGGACGCCGAATCGCGAGCAGAAATGCCTCCACTGCCCGTGGACGCCGCTCGAAACGGACTCCAGATGCCGTCTACGCAGTCTCTCCTTCAACGGCGACGGCTATTTGGCGGTTCCGCATGAGATCCCAAGAATGGAATTTCGACTCGACTTAACGTTCGCGACAACATCGCAAAACTCGGTGCTGTTCTATGCGTCGCATTCGGCCGACAATTTCGACGGCGATATGTTGGAGCTGATCTTGCAGGGGGCGCCGAGATTGCGGGCCTCGTTGGGAGGCTCGTCCATGGTTGAGGTGGCACTGCCGGATTGGAAAGAGAACCGAGTCAGCGACGGAGAGTGGCATACCATTCATATCAGCTATAGGAATTTGGTGAGTTGACTGTTGCAGACAGCTATAATTGATCCTCTCGTTCTCTAATATTGTTGCATATCTCATCTGCAATTGCAACGTAAAAACCCAGATTTTCGAGAATTTACAAGCAGTGAATTAGGTGGGCTATACACTCTGTGCCCTCTTATTTTCTGAACTCTACACTCTAATCTCCCACCTCTGCCCTCTATTTGTACATAGCGCCCTCTAATATACATCCTGATCTTTTGGCCAAAAAACGTACCATTTTGCATCCGGGAAGTATGAAAAATGTAGCAAGTGTAAGTGAAAAACTCCGACTTCAAAAGCGTATCCGCTGTTTTTGTAAGACAAAGAGCGCGCCCTTCAAACGGAGTTTTTTCACTTGGAGAGGGAGGCATTTTGCCACATTTCTGAGACTTCTCGGACGCAAAATGATACGTTTTTTCCCACTGGATCAGGTGCCTCACTATAGATGCCCTCTAACCGAAACTGAAATAGGCCGTCTAAAAATCTGAATGGATTCTCCGGGAATTTTGCGAGGACGCTTCTAAACCGGCGTCATTGTAATACATTTTCTGGACAAAGAAAGACTTATAAGTTACGAGCCATATAAGGAGCGAAACTTTGAAGAAACGAGAGCTTCTTCCGTCACTCACTTTATACATTTATCATCAATTTATTACTTTTTTGAGCAAAGTTATAATTTTCAATAACTTCAAATCCTTTTTTAGACCTTCCGCCTTTGGCTCGACGACTGTGACGCCGAACTCGCCTTGAACCACGCCGACAAAGTGGGATACAAAAAGTGCGCGGCCGAAGCAAAAATCTCCCTTCCGGCGCGCTGCAACGACCCCGCCGTTCCTTGTCATCGTTTCCTCGACCTCAGCTCCGCGCTCTACCTGGGAGCCCAGCCGAAACACGTGGAAAACGGCTTTGTCGGCTGCTTGAAGGACCTGCGAATCGACGGGAAACTCGTTCACTTCTCCGACTTCAAACGTCTCGAGAAAGTGGGCGACGTTCAGGCGGGTTGTCGCCGGTTCCGGCCCGACCATTGCGCGTTACAAAGAGCGTTGATTGCCGTGAGCAAAGAGGAGCAAATTTCGGAGCATGTGGCGAGAGGAATGATGGACGAACCGTGTCATCCGACCGCGAAATGTCAGGATCAATGGGAAGGGAGGGTTTGCAAGTGCCCGCATCGCTTGCACTCCCATCGAAGCTGCGCCATGGAGACTTCGCACGCAATTAGTCTGCTGAGCGAAGAGAGCTATGTGGTGTGGAGATTGCCGGCGGAGCCGAAGAACTCCGTGCTCTATTTTGAGTTCAGGACGAGGGAAAAGAAAACACAGGTCATGGTTATGGAGTTTGAAATGAAAACGGATCTTTTCATGTTCTCGGTGAGTAAAACTTATATTTAGTGGGGTTTCCAGCTCAAATTTGGTGTCTTAATGCCATAAAATTTCATTTTCTAGCTTATAGAATCTGTTAGAAATACTATTGTTACATTTTCCGACCTTGCAACAGAATGCCAAAAAATTTCAAAATTCGGCGGGAAATTCAAAATTCAATTTTTTCGCTCTAGTTTTGTTTGTACAGGGAAGATCATGTGTAAACATGATAGGAAGTCATCCTTAAAGTACAAATTACTTTAAAACAAAACGTTTTTATCAAAAAAACGGCTTTTTTCCGTTAAACTTTGTTAATGCAGTTTTTTAACCGCCGAATACCCCCTTAACCCACCTTTTTTCAGCTCGAATCCGGCCACGGATCCATTCGTTATGGCCAGGAGCAGTTCTTCCTCTCGCATCCCGATCTGTCGGACGGAGAATGGCACTCAGTCCGGGTGGACTTCGAATCCGACACCCTGATCGTCGACCACATCCATGCGCGAAGTATGAAGCCCACAACAAACGTCAAATCGCAGTCCTTGCACACCCAATTCCTCTACTCTGGGAATGCGCCATCAATGGCGTATCCGTCCGAGTTTTTGGGCTGCCTGCGGAACGTCGAAGTGGGCGGCGTGAAGCTGAAGCCGCATGAGCAGAGCAAGACCAAGCCCGGCTGCTCTCCCGCCACGAATCCCTGCAGTCAGCACGGGAACATATGCCCGCCGGCCTCGTCCTGCCAGAAGCAATGGGATCGGCATCGGTGCGAATGCAGTTTTGGGCATGTCGGCGATGCCTGCTTGGATATTTGCAGCGTGGAAGGGATCTGCAATCAAGGGCTTTGTATACGGACGAATTTGACGGAAAAAGGCTATGAGTGCGCATGCCCGGAGGGGAGATCCGGCGAAAATTGTGAGGCTGAGGCGTTGGAACAGGAGTGTCCGCCAGGATGGTTTGGAGTTTTTGGACAGTGTAAAATCTGCAATTGCCGGATGGATAGAGGGTTCCTACAGCAATGCGATGAGATCAGCGGGCAATGCAAATGTCGACCTGGGTTCTACAGACAGGTAATGGCTATCCTAAGCATCCATAAATGGGTCTCTTTAGTTGATAGAGAGACAGCAAAAAAAATGTTTTTTTCTCTTGACTGTCTCTCTCAATTTTCTATAGTTTCTTGGCCCTTAAAGACCGCTGACTTCAAGCTAATGGATGTCCCAAAAAAATTCCAGACTTTCAGTGGGGGACCTGATCCACTGGCAGAAAACGTGCCATTTTATTACATCCGGGAAGTATCAAAAATGTGGCAAAATACCTCCCTCTCCAAGTAAAAAAATCCGATTTTAAAAATGAGCCCGCTTCTTTGTGAGGAAACCCTTCAAAATGAAGTTTTTTCACTTGGAGAGGGAAGCATTTTGCCACATTTTTGATACTTCCCGGAACCAAAATCTTACTTTTTTGCCTCTGGATCAGATCCCATACTTACAATATTTACCATAATTTATTAATCTTTTCAGAACGACCGTTGTCTCCCATGTGAATGCGGCTACGGCGCTGAAAGTCCCCAATGTCACTCCGAAACCGGCCAATGCCAATGCGCTGGCGAAGCGACCGGTCGCCGTTGCGACCGTTGCCCAACGAAAAACAACCGACCTCAACTCCTTGAACGCAAGAGCTTGAAATGTCAGCCGTTGAAGGATCGCTGCCCCGCCGAAATCGAGCTGGGAATTCAATGGGCGAGCACGGTGCGTGGAGTGGTCGCACGGCAGAGTTGCCCGCATGGACAAATGGGAATTGCAACGCGTCTCTGTCGGGCGAGCGGCGAATGGGCGCCGGCCAAGACCTACAACTGCACCTCGAGTGTGCTGTATGAGCTCGCCGAACGAGTGAATAGCAATTCGAACACGGGTATAACCGCTATAACCAGATCGCTGGAGAATTTGACGGTTTGGGACGCAACCCTTGCAACTGGCCGCAATTTGGACTTGGCCATCGGCGTGTTATCGAGTATTATCAAGACCACCGACGCCGCTACAGCACACGCAACGGACCATCGATTCACACGGACCGTGTTGAAGATTGCCGACAATTTGCTAGACCAAAAACTGAACGCGGTGCAGTTTCTGGGAGTGCTCTCGAGATTGTACGAATTCGGCTCCACACTGTCTAGAATTCATGCCGACATGCCATTCATACGGCCGTTTGTCTACTACGGTCAGGAATTCGTCTTCGCTATCGATATTATCAATGAGAAATCGGCGGGAATTCAGCTGCCAAAATATCAGAGTCTGATTGCGCCTGAAGCCAACCGCGTTTTCAGCAGACAAGCAAATGATTTCTACAGTAATCAAGGCAATGGCTACAGTAATTCAGATGGTTATTCTCGAGAGCCCATTAAGAATCTCCATGTCAACTTGCCAACGCAAAATTCCGCAGTGTTCTACAGTTTCGTGCGACCGCAGTGCAAAGATTGTGGCAACGGCGATATCGTACTGCTAAAGACCACCCCGTTGGATGTGAAGTCGAGCTCATACGACGGCATGGTCCAACTCACCTTCCGACGCCAAGACTCGACGATCGATGAGGATATCAACAGTCTAAAGTACCCGGAGTGTGTTCAAGCCGCGGAGTTGGAAGAGCGTTTGAGTTCGGAGAGATTCAGGAAAAATCAGAATCTGGATGGCGCTAATGTCGGATACAGTAATCTAGAATCTTTACATGACCCGTATTCTATCAACTCCAAAGATTTCTCCAGCGAGATCTCGTTTGACTGGACGACCGCTACAAGCTCAGGCCAGCTCATGTCCCTGAATCGAACGCATGCGGTGTGCCGATTCGCGACGGACGCGACAAAGCCAATTGGCGGAATTTTCACCCTACTTTCCAAGTCCGACAACAGCGCGATTATTCAGTTCACAATTGGTCGTCTACCCTATACGGCGCCACTTTGCGCCGCATTCGCCTTGTTCCTGTTGCTGCTCTCGGTGCTGGCCACGATATTCAGGCGGGATATTGGGCAGAGATTGGTGAAGCTGGCGTTTTTGGGCGCCTTCATCTTCAACGCTGGAGTTTTGTTCTTCTTGCCGAGACTGCAGTTCAACAGCATCTTCTGTGGGTTCCGAACCGCGTTGCTGGTGTTCAGCTCCAGTGGAGAGTTTTCGTGGCTATTCTTGTTGACGCTGCACATCTACCGGATCTTGGTGGAGGAGAGGGCAAAGACAAAGTGAGCTTTTTTCGGAATGAAAAATACAGCCAAGCCTCTGTGCAAATAATTGAAAGCGATCAAAAAGTACAATATTTTGGAGGGCTTTTTTTACGAAGGTTGATTTTGGCCCAAATTCACCACTACGACCTCTAAAATTGCTCGTTATACAGAGGCTTTGTTCTACGGAAATTTTTGTAAAAATTTTTCACCGTAAAATTTCGGAGTAACATTGTTATCCTCCAACTAATCTAACAACATTTTCAGCTACGTTTTCTCCTTCATTTTTGGCCTTCTTGCTCCCTGCATTTCCTGCACGGCCATCTTCTTCCTCAGCGAAGGCTGCACATTGCAGCCCGGCTCCCGAAATCTTTGGCTACTCATCGCTCCGGTGGTGTTACTGTTGATGTTCAGTTTTTACGCTCTGGCCACCTCATTCATTGTCTCCTTCAGCAAGCAGTACGACGTCATTGTCGCCAAACATGGATTGAAGAAAATGCTGGCTTCGCATGCAATTTTGGTAAGCTCTTGGATCGAATTATCTATACAATTGAGAGAGTGAGACATTAAAAAATTATTTTTTTAGCTGATTCTCTGCACCGTTCATGTTACGGTCTCCGTTTACTACTTCATTTTCTGGACTCAACACACATTTTTGATTGAGGGAATCACCAATGTTGTGCTGGTGTTCGTCGCTATCTACATCTTTATTTGGAGCAACTTCTTGTCCAAAATGGTAAGCAATCCCCGTTTCTTCCAAACCCCCATCTCTTTAGAAATCGGCCAACCGAAAATCCGAATTCTGGCTTGACTCTGAGCAAAAGATTGCCCCGGCCAATTTGCATCAGAATTTCTTGGATCAGCCGGACGCTCACTCACCATTATTGCACACCTTAAGCAATGATTCGAGTGAATACAGTCAAAAGAATGCGTATGGAGAGGCAGTGAATGATCATATGAGCGACGTCAACCCTTATAATGCAACCTACGTTCATCACACGTTGCAAAGATCGTTGAAGCTGCAACAGAACTCGGTATGAGATATCTTTAGCTCTCTCCTCTTTAACCGTAGTGTTCACGTCACTTTTGACAGCCCTTTAATGCCGCTTTTCTTTCAGATCCTCTCTCCAGTCCCTCCTCTCCCGCGATCGCTTGGAGCTCAGCTGCATGATGATCTTGACTCCGCTCACTCCTCACCCTATACGACACGATCACCGCTACTGTCGCATCACTTGGATCATCAAATCCCGCGGACCCCGGAACTCGCTCAACGAGACCCTGGAAGCCATTTCGGCACCATGCGATCCACAATGGACAGTCCGGCGCGAAGCCGCTTCGGTTCCGCTGTCGATGAAGGGAACGATATTTACTATTCATTTACCGGCAGGAGAAAACGTTCTACTCAGGCATGCACAACTTTCTCTTAATTTTATTTCAAAAATATTTTAACAGTCTTATATTTCATTTTTTTCATATTCCAAAACTCACGGGTTATAAAATAATTGTAGTCAAATTTTGATCTCTCAATGAGTAAATTTACCTTGCTATTAAACTTTAAATCTTGGTGCAGTAACCGTCAAATTGAACAAAAAACTTTTATTGCGAATGTCTGTACATTTCATCTTGCGTATAATTGAAATAAATTAAATATTTTTCCATGACAAATTGCTTGAAAAACGAAATATGACCTTTTGGGGAGCCAGAAGGCCTACAAGAAGCCACGACATGTCTGTTTAGTGCATCCCCGCGAAAACACCTTGTCGCACCTATTCAAACGGAGGCGAGCAAAATTCACGTAGCACTGTCACTTCGCACGGTGAGAAATAAATTTTACCGGGGACGGCAAAAAAGCTTGTTTCGGAAATGAAACTGCACAGTGTAAGGCAACCCCAAATAGAATGATAATGTTTCCCGCAGAATTTTGAGCTTTGTCAAATCAAAGTCTCAAAATTGACAAAAAAAATCTAATAGTTATGAGAACATAGTTTTCGGCAGGGAATCCCCACGAAAAAAACCTTTTTTGATGTTTCGTTTGATTCAATTGATACAAAATGGGCGACGTGCCAAAAGGAGGCATTAAATATTTTGGGTTGCACCTGTGGTATAAAGAATGCCAACGAAGAAGACAATCACAACCCAGGACTTCAAGGGGATTTCATTACAATAAGGAGGAATGTGTATTTCGACTTACGATTAGCATAGAGAACAAAAAACTATAAAGAATTTCTAGCACTCACGCGTATTTCTCTTAAATGGATGGAACAGTTTCTAAACAACAAAGTTTGTTAGTTTAAAGTATGATTGCTCTTTCACCATTGAACAGAATAACCGTAGGTGATCCCAACAAATAATTTGCACGCGTTTATTACTTGTTCAGCATTGTTTGAGAGTCATTTGATGTCATACAAACAAGATTGACCTGCAGCTAAACAATCAAACCGGGACATATTTAAAGTCTTGACAATGTTTTATGGTAATATTGACGAGCCTCGTGCAGGACACGACAAAAATGAGGGTCTTCGCATTGTTGCCGGTTTTGGCATTTGCATTAGTCGGTAAGTAAAAAAGACGACTTTTATAGTAGGGTGACCGCCTTTTTCAAAGAAGAAATTAAATTTCAGCTGCTAACTCCCAAGAAGAAACGACTTCATCGACAACACCGACCACCACGACAACTCCGACAACCCCGACTACTCCAACCACACCGACCAGCCAGACAACTCCTACAAGCCAGACGACAACACCAACGACTCCGACTACTCCAACTACGCCGACCACATCGACTAGTCAGACCACCCCCACGAGTCAAACCACTCCAACTACCCCCACCACTCCGACCACACCAACGACCTCTACAACGCCTACTACACCAACTAGTCAGACCACTCCTACAAGTCAGACAACTCCCACAACACCAACAACTCCAACTACTCCCTCAACTCCTACACCGACGACACCCACTAGTCAGACAACCCCTACAAGTCCGACGACTCCCACAACACCAACGACCCCTACAACCCCTACTACACCAACTAGTCAGACAACTCCCACAACTCCTACACCGACGACACCCACTAGTCAGACAACCCCTACAAGTCCGACGACTCCCACAACACCAACGACCCCTACAACCCCTACTACACCAACGACCCCTACAACCCCTACTACACCAACTAGTCAGACAACTCCCACAACACCAACAACTCCCACTACTCCCACAACTCCTACACCGACGACACCCACTAGTCAGACAACCCCTACAAGTCCGACGACTCCCACAACACCAACGACCCCTACAACCCCTACTACACCAACTAGTCAGACAACTCCCACAACTCCTACACCGACGACACCCACTAGTCAGACAACCCCTACAAGTCCGACGACTCCCACAACACCAACGACCCCTACCACTCCGACCACACCTACGAGTCAAACGAGCTCTACAACTCCAACGACGCCAACAACTCCAACTACTCCGAGCACACCAAGTAGTCCAACAACCCCGACCACTCCAACTACCCCTACCACACCAACAACACCGACTACTCCAAGCACACCAAGTAGTCCAACCACCCCGACCACTCCAACTACCCCTACCACACCAACAACACCGACTACTCCAAGCACACCAAGTAGTCCAACCACCCCGACCACTCCAACTACCCCTACCACACCAACGACGCCGACTACTCCGAGCACACCAAGTAGTCCAACGACCCCGACCACTCCAACTACCCCAACAACACCGACTACTCCAAGCACACCAAGTAGTCCAACAACCCCGACCACTCCAACTACCCCTACCACACCAACGACGCCGACTACTCCGAGCACACCAAGTAGTCCAACGACCCCGACCACTCCAACTACCCCAACCACACCAACAACACCGACTACTCCAAGCACACCGAGTAGTCCAACAACCCCGACCTCTCCAACTACCCCTACCACGCCAACGACGCCGACTACTCCAAGCACACCAAGTAGTCCAACGACCCCGACCACTCCAACTACCCCAACCACACCAACAACACCGACTACTCCAAGCACACCGAGTAGTCCAACAACCCCGACCTCTCCAACTACCCCTACCACGCCAACGACGCCGACTACACCAAGCACACCAAGTAGTCCAACAACCCCAACCACTCCAACTACCCCTACCACGCCAACGACGCCGACTACTCCAAGCACACCAAGTAGTCCAACAACCCCAACCACTACAACTACCCCTACCACGCCAACGACGCCGACTACTCCAAGCACACCAAGTAGTCCAACAACCCCGACCACTCCAACTACCCCTACCACGCCAACGACGCCGGCTACTCCAAGCACACCAAGTAGTCCAACAACCCCAACCACTCCAACTACCCCTACCACGCCAACGACGCCGACTACTCCAAGCACACCAAGTAGTCCAACAACCCCGACCACTCCAACTACCCCAACCACACCAACAACACCGACTACTCCAAGCACACCAAGTAGCCCAACAACCCCAACCACTCCAACTACCCCTACCACGCCAACGACGCCGACTACTCCAAGCACACCAAGTAGTCCAACAACCCCGACCACTCCAACCACCCCTACCACGCCAACGACGCCGACTACTCCAAGCACACCAAGTAGTCCAACAACCCCGACCACTCCAACTACCCCTACCACGCCAACGACGCCGACTACTCCAAGCACACCAAGTAGTCCAACAACCCCGACCAGTCCAACTACCCCTACCACGCCAACGACGCCGACTACTCCAAGCACACCAAGTAGTCCAACAACCCCGACCAGTCCAACTACCCCTACCACACCAACAACGCCGACTACTCCAAGCACACCAAGTAGTCCAACAACCCCAACCACTCCAACTACCCTTACCACGCCAACGACGCCGACTACTCCAAGCACACCAAGTAGTCCAACAACCCCGACCACTCCAACTACCCCTACCACGCCAACGACGCCGACTACTCCAAGCACACCAAGTAGTCCAACAACCCCAACCACTCCAACTACCCCTACCACGCCAACGACGCCGACTACTCCAAGCACACCAAGTAGTCCAACAACCCCGACCACTCCAACTACCCCAACCACACCAACGACGCCGACTACTCCAAGCACACCAAGTAGTCCAACAACCCCGACCACTCCAACTACCCCTACCACACCAACAACTCCAACCACCCCTACGACTCCGACCACTCCCACAACCCCAAGCACCCCAACGACGCCGACTACTCCAAGCACACCAAGTAGTCCAACAACCCCAACCACTCCAACTACCCCTACCACGCCAACGACGCCGACTACTCCAAGCACACCAAGTAGTCCAACAACCCCGACCACTCCAACTACCCCTACCACGCCAACGACGCCGACTACTCCAAGCACACCAAGTAGTCCAACAACCCCGACCAGTCCAACTACCCCTACCACGCCAACGACGCCGACTACTCCAAGCACACCAAGTAGTCCAACAACCCCGACCAGTCCAACTACCCCTACCACACCAACAACGCCGACTACTCCAAGCACACCAAGTAGTCCAACAACCCCGACCACTCCAACTACCCCAACCACACCAACAACACCGACTACTCCAAGCACACCAAGTAGCCCAACAACCCCAACCACTCCAACTACCCCTACCACGCCAACGACGCCGACTACTCCAAGCACACCAAGTAGTCCAACAACCCCGACCACTCCAACCACCCCTACCACGCCAACGACGCCGACTACTCCAAGCACACCAAGTAGTCCAACAACCCCGACCACTCCAACTACCCCTACCACGCCAACGACGCCGACTACTCCAAGCACACCAAGTAGTCCAACAACCCCGACCACTCCAACTACCCCGACCACTCCAACTACCCCAACCACACCAACAACACCGACTACTCCAAGCACACCAAGTAGCCCAACAACCCCAACCACTCCAACTACCCCTACCACGCCAACGACGCCGACTACTCCAAGCACACCAAGTAGTCCAACAACCCCAACCACTCCAACAACGCCTACAACCCCAACCACCCCAACAACCCCCACTACTCCAACGACACCCACTACACCGACAACCCCAACCACTCCTACAACTCCAACGACCCCTATCACTCCGACAACACCTACAACCCCAACAACTCCCACTACCCCAACAACTCCCACCACACCAACTACTCCAACCACACCAACAACTCCAACGACACCTACAACCCCAACTACTCCCACAACCCCAACTACCCCAACCACTCCCACTACTCCAACAACTCCTACGACACCAACAACCCCAACCACTCCAACAACGCCTACAACCCCAACCACCCCAACAACCCCCACTACTCCAACAACTCCCACAACACCAACAACCCCAACGACCCCAACGACTCCAACAACTCCTACCACACCAACAACCCCAACCACTCCAACAACGCCTACAACCCCAACCACCCCAACAACCCCCACTACTCCAACAACTCCCACGACACCAACGACCCCTACCACTCCGACAACACCTACAACCCCAACAACTCCCACTACCCCAACAACTCCCACCACACCAATTACTCCAACCACACCAACAACTCCAACGACACCTACAACCCCAACTACTCCCACAACCCCAACTACCCCAACCACTCCCACTACTCCAACAACTCCTACGAAACCAACAACCCCAACCACTCCAACAACGCCTACAACCCCAACCACCCCAACAACCCCCACTACTCCAACAACTCCCACAACACCAACAACCCCAACGACCCCAACGACTCCAACAACTCCTACCACACCAACAACCCCAACCACTCCAACAACGCCTACAACCCCAACCACCCCAACAACCCCCACTACTCCAACAACTCCCACGACACCAACGACCCCAACGACTCCAACAACACCCACTACGCCTTCATGTAAGTGTCGTACTAAGGAACCGTAATACAATTCTTTTAGCTAAATGCGTTGACGGAGCTACTAACTGTGCTCAATTCAAGAGCCAATGCGGGACTCCTAAAATGCAAACTTATTGTAAGAATACTTGTGGTCTTTGCGGTTCTACCTCCCCACCACCAACTCAAGGTAAGCAAAATAGGCCACATAACAACAGCATCCTTAAATCTTAAAATTTTCAAATTTAATACACCCATTCTCTTCCAGGCTGCGTCGATGGCGCTACAAATTGCGCTGACTTCAAGAGTCAATGTGGTACACCAAAGGTGCAAACATACTGTAAACATACATGCGGTCTTTGCGGATCAACGCCAACCCCAGTTACCCCACCAACCCAAGGATGTGTTGACGGAGCTACAAACTGCGCTGACTTCAAGAGTAAATGCGGTACACCGAAAATGCAGACATACTGTAAGCACACGTGCGGAGCCTGTGGTTCAACTACACCTACCCCGACCACTCGTGAGTTAGACTACGTTTCGAAGCAAAAATATATATTTTTGCGTTTCTAATGCACAATAATTTTTTCTTCAGAATGCGTTGATGGAGCCACAAATTGCTCTCAATTCAAGAGCCAATGCGGAACCCCTAAGATGAAAGAATTCTGCAAACACACTTGTGGAGCTTGCTGAGCTGCACATTTTGTTGTAAATCGGAGAACTCTGTGAGCTGATAGTTTTCTCGTAATAACCGAAATAAAAATTCTAATTCCTGGTATTATTCAATAGGACATTCCAACAAAAACCTGTTTATTCATTCGGTTGGAATTTGGTCTGTTGACAAAGCTGCACAACTCCGAGCATTTGAAGGGGATCTGCTGTGCAAACGGAGAAGTCCAGGGGTGATGGAGCAGAGGATGCATGTTCAAACATGCAAAAACATTCATGCAATTAAAAACTTTATTTGCAAGGATTCATGTGTATTTAAAAATTAAAAGTAAATCTAAGAGCAATAAGACAAAATATGCATGCAAATTGAATGGGAATCCCAATTCTATGTCGTCTTTACCTTTACAGAACTTGTTGAACATTCAAAGAGAGCCATGTCCATTTGTCAGTCCTTACGATGAATACATAGTTTGCAGACGTTTATTACTTGTTCTTGAGAGCCATTTGATGTCATACAAACAAGATTGCCCTGCAGCTAAACAATCAAACCGGGACATATTTAAAGTCTTGACAATGTTCAATGGTAATATTGACGAGCCTCGTGCAGGACACGACAAAAATGAGGGTCTTCGCATTGTTGCCGGTTTTGGCATTTGCATTAGTCGGTAAGTAAAATAGACGATTTTTATGCAAGGGTGCCCGCCTTTTTTCAAAGAAGAAATTTAATTTCAGGTGCAAACGAAGAAACGACTACATCGACAACACTGACCACCCCGACAACTCCGACAACCCCGACTACTCCAACCACACCGACCAGCCAGACAACTCCTACAAGCCAGACAACAACACCAACGACTCCGACTACTGCAACTACGCCGACCACACCGACTAGTCAGACCACCCCCACGAGTCAAACCACTCCAACTACCCCCACCACTCCGACCACACCAACGACCTCTACAACGCCTACTACACCAACTAGTCAGACCACTCCTACAAGTCAGACAACTCCCACAACACCAACAACTCCAACTACTCCCTCAACTCCTACACCGACGACACCCACTAGTCAGACAACCCCTACAAGTCCGACGACACCCACAACACCAACGACCCCCACGACTCCGACCACACCTACGAGCCAAACGACCCCTACAACTCCAACGACGCCAACAACTCCAACTACTCCCACCACGCCTACCAGCCCGTCGACGCCAACTACGCCTACGAGTCAAACGACTCCCACTACGCCAACAACCCCGACCACTCCAACTACCCCTACCACACCAACGACGCCGACAACTCCGAGCACACCAAGTAGTCCAACGACGCCGACCACTCCAACCACACCTACAACCCCCAGCACCCCGACGACGCCAAGCACACCAAGTAGTCCAACAACCCCGACCACTCCAACTACCCCTACCACACCAAGGACGCCGACTACTCCGAGCACACCAAGTAGTCCAACGACGCCGACCACTCCAACCACACCTACAACCCCCAGCACCCCGACGACTCCAAGCACACCAAGTAGTCCAACAACCCCGACCACTCCAACTACCCCTACCACACCAACGACGCCGACTACTCCGAGCACACCAAGTAGTCCAACGACCCCGACCACTCCAACTACCCCTACCACACCAACAACACCGACTACTCCAAGCACACCAAGTAGTCCAACAACCCCGACCACTCCAACTACCCCTACCACACCAACAACACCGACTACTCCAAGCACACCAAGTAGTCCAACAACCCCTACAACTCCTACCACACCAACAACTCCGTCTACCCCCACTACTTCGACAACCCCAAGTACCCCAACGACTCCCACAACCCCAAGCACCCCGACAACTCCTACTACACCAACAACTCCTACAACTCCAACCACCCCCACTACCCCAACAACCCCTAGTACACCTACGACTCCAACGACCCCGACAACGCCAACAACTCCCACCACCCCAAGCACGCCAACGACCCCTACAACACCCTCTACCCCTACAACACCAACAACACCTACAACTCCAACTACTCCAACGACGCCAACTACTCCGACTACTCCCACCACTCCCACAACCCCAAGCACCCCAACGACCCCAACAACTCCAACCACCCCGACTACTCCAACCACACCAACGACACCCACTACTCCTACAACACCAACAACTCCGTCTACCCCCACTACTCCGACAACCCCAACGACTCCCACAACCCCAAGCACCCCGACAACTCCTACTACACCAACGACTCCAACGACACCCACTACACCGACAACCCCAACCACTCCTACAACTCCAACGACCCCTACTACTCCGACAACACCAACCACCCCAACAACTCCCACCACACCAACAACTCCAACGACACCTACAACACCCACTACTCCTACAACACCTACAACCCCAACAACTCCCACTACCCCAACAACTCCCACCACACCAACAACTCCAACGACACCTACAACCCCAACTACTCCCACAACCCCAACTACCCCAACCACTCCCACTACGCCAACAACTCCTACCACACCAACAACCCCAACCACTCCAACAACGCCTACAACCCCAACCACCCCAACAACTCCCACTACCCCAACAACTCCCACCACACCAACAACTCCAACCACACCAACAACTCCAACGACACCTACAACCCCAACTACTCCCACAACCCCAACTACCCCAACCACTCCCACTACGCCAACAACTCCTACCACACCAACAACCCCAACCACTCCAACAACGCCTACAACCCCAACCACCCCAACAACCCCCACTACTCCAACAACTCCCACGACACCGACAACCCCAACGACTCCAACAACACCCACTACACCTTCATGTAAGTGTCGTACTAAGAAACCGTAATGCAATTCTTTTAGCTAAATGCGTTGACGGAGCTACTAACTGCGCTCAATTCAAGAGCGAATGCGGGACTCCTAAAATGCAAACTTATTGTAAGAATACTTGTGGTCTTTGCGGTTCTACCTCTCCACCACCAACTCAAGGTAAGCAAAATAGGCCACATAACAACAGCATTCTTAAACCTTTAAATTTTCAAATTTAATACACCCATTCTCTTCCAGGCTGTGTCGATGGCGCTACAAATTGCGCCGACTTCAAGAGTCAATGTGGTACACCAAAGATGCAAACATACTGTAAACATACATGCGGTCTTTGCGGATCAACGCCAGCCCCATTTACCCCACCAACCCAAGGCTGTGTTGACGGAGCTACAAACTGCGCTGACTTCAAGAGTCAATGCGGCACACCAAAAATGCAGACATACTGTAAGCACACGTGCGGAGCCTGTGGTTCAACTACACCTACCCCAACCACTCGTGAGTAGACTACGTTTTTTAAAACTATGTATATTCCCCGCCAAAAGTTTTGACCCCCCTTCTAACTCGGTCCAAAGTGTACCAATTTGGACCAAATTTGGTACGTAGTCTAGTGACAGCCTAGTAATAAAAAATATCATAGTAGGAGAAACCATATAGCTGTATTTCAAAATCTAGGGACAGTTTTCAAAAATCACCTCAAAAAAACGGGACAAAAGTTTTGACCCCCCTGCAAAAAAATTAAATATCGCCACCGGATGTAGCCCGAACCTTTTACAATCGATGCCCCATACCTGAATACAGATTAATAAATGCTTTTTCGTTGAATGCTTCGTTGCATTTGAGGATGCAACGCGTTAAACTGATTTTGATGTAGAGCTGCCCAAAATGGTAAAAATCTTGTACTGGCGCTTTGTAAAAGTTCTAAATTATGTTCACATCATGTGATCTTGACGTGTTATAACCTGCATTAACCTTTTCCTTTCGAAAAAAGTCCATGATGGCCTAGCGGTATCGATTCGGCCGATATCCAGTTGTCATGGTCAGCCTTGGTGAGCCATTTGCTCTTTCACTAAAGGTCTAGATGTGGTCGCTAGGTCCTCAATATAATCCTGAGACTCCTATTTACTCTCAGCAGGGTAAAAAGTTTCGATTTGACGCGTTTTGGAATGGGTTTCATTCACCTAAATCTTAAGTTTGCCGTTACTGTAGATGCTCCTGAGTACGACGCCATCCCCACCGCCCATTTGTCGTTCCATACGTCTCAAATGAGTATGGCGGGTGCTGCAGCGTCCTAAATTACCTGGCCCATCAAGTGAAAGCCATTTTTGGTCGCAAAAAATCCATTTGAAGAAAGCGGGTTTTTCATTAAGGTGCAGATGCGCAAAGCTGCATCTGCAAACCATATGAGATCGTGTCAGCGGGAGTTTATTCTTGGTTTAAGAGTTGATATGAGTCTCAGGATTAGATTGAGGACATAGCGACCACATCTAGCCCTTTAGTGAAAGAGCAAATGGCTCACCAAGGCTGACCATGACAACTGGATATCGGCCGAATCAATACCGCTAGGCCATCATGGACTTTTTTCGAAAGGAAAAGGTTAATGCAGGTTATAGCACGTCAAGATCACATGATGTGAACATAATTTAGAACTTTTACAAAGCGCCAGTACAAGATTTTTACCATTTTGGGCAGCTCTACATCAAAATCAGTTTAACGCGTTGCATCCTCAAATGCAACGAAGCATTCAACGAAAAAGCATTTATTAATCTGTATTCAGGTATGGGGCATCGATTGTAAAAGGTTCGGGCTACATCCGGTGGCGATATTTAATTTTTTTGCAGGGGGGTCAAAACTTTTGTCCCGTTTTTTTGAGGTGATTTTTGAAAATTGTCTCTGGATTTTGAAATACAGCTATATGGTTTGTCCTACTATGATATTTTTTATTACTAGGCTGTCAGTAGACTACGTACCAAATTTGGTCCAAATTGGTACACTTTGGACCGAGTTAGAAGGGGGGTCAAAACTTTTGGCGGGGAGTATATGTTAGCGTTTCTAATGCATAATATTTTTTCTTCAGAATGCGTTGATGGAGCTACAAATTGCTCTCAATTCAAGAGCCAATGCGGAACCCCTAAGATGAAAGAATTCTGCAAACACACTTGTGGAGCTTGCTGAGCTGCACATTTTGTTGTAAATCGGAGAACTCTGTGAGCTGATAGCTTTCTCGTAATTACCGAAATAAAAATTGTAATCCCTGGCATTATTCAATAGGACTTTGCAATAAAAGCCTGTTCATTCATTCGGTTGGAATTTGGTCTGTTGACAAAACTACACAACATTTGAAGGGGATCTGCTGTGCAAACGGAGAAGTCCAGGGGTGATGGAGCAGAGGATGCATGTTCAAACATGCAAAAACAATGATGCAATTAATTGAAATTAAAGATTTTATTTGCAAGGATTCATGTGTATTTAAAAATTTAAAGTAAATCTAACGTAAGAGCAATAAGACAAAATATGCATGCAAATTGTATGGGAATCCCAATTCTGTGTCGCCTTTACAGAACTTGTTGAACCTTCAAAGAGAGCCATGTCCATTTGTCAGCCGGTATGATTTCCTGGTCACTCGGACCTGCCAAGTTGTTCATCAATCAAAATTCTTTTTGACTTCGGGCGTACGACACATTTTTATTAATGTCATTTTAAAGCAAACTTCGTAATTGATATTTTATGCAAACCATCTTCATACTGGCGTCTGTACGACATTTGATTTTCTGCAGAAAAGTTTTTCTTTGGGGTATCATGAAAGAATTTGTAAAAAAGTGTCATATTTTTTGTTTTGGCCAAAAAATCTCGTTTGTTTCTGCACAGCGCAAGCTGGGAGTCTCGCACATGTCCGTGCTAAGTCTCATCAAAATCTGTGTTCTCCTGTAAGCTGTGTATCCATTTTGCTTTGAACTCCGGCTATAAAATAAAGTAAGTTTTACTTCATTTCCACCCTTATTGCCCATGATGACATCTCTTGGGATTTGCTTCAACAATACCCCATGTGGTCTCGATTCTGTTTTTTCTCCTCGTCCGCAAAAACAACAACAATAAGAAAGGCGTGCGGAAAACTTTTACCCAAAGCCATTTAGGTCCCTCTCGAGTCCCTAAAAACGGAAGAAAGAGCCGGCCAAAGTTGCGCAATGACCCTCGCAAAGACAAAATGCACGGGCTTTCAGTCAGACATTGCGACGGCGCGGAGAGCGCAGACAGCGAATATGGGGCATTGCTCGAAAGGCCAATGCACTCCGAGCGGGCCAGAAGCGTTGGGGGCCGGTTCGTCTTTGTGTCGTCTTTCTTTGCGTCCAACTTTTCGACATTTTTCGTTCGACTATCGGCATATCGTCGGGCGGGTGAGGAGGGGTCGTAAGTCATAGGCGTTGGAGAAACGATAAAAAAAACTTTTTGAGTTATTCCCCGGTTTTTTATGGGCTTTGTCGAACAAAGATTATACGGATGCCATGGCAAAATTTTTGAAGCAATTCGGCTTGATTCTTTGCGTGAACAATTTTTTATACGAGAACGAATGGGTTTCCGCGCAATTTGCGGTCTTGGCATTCTGTTTTCGCATTTTTCTTGATCACTTTTTCCATTTTTGTGAGACCGATTTGAAGAGAAAAAGAAGTGGACGGAATTGACTGTTTTTATTATAAATTTCGACTTCAAAATTCATTTTTGACATTATAGTAGGTAGTGACAGAGAATTTCACCCAGAACGTCAAATTTCTTTCTTTTTGTTTTATGTTGTTTTAGGTAACCTTTTATTAATTTTAACTTAAAATTTAACTTGAACACTAATATTATTTGGTTTTTACTGTGAACCGGATGCCATGAGACTTCCACAACGTCTTCTTGACAAGGTAAAGATTTTATTTTTTGTTATTTCAATTTTTAGGCAAGAAAATCGTCGGTGAATCCACTTTGAGGGATATTCAGCCATTTTCCAGCTGGTTAAAAGCAGAATCGTTCAAATTGACACCTTTTTTATCACTTTTTCAAAGTGTTTTTGGCTTGACCCTCCATTTTTGAATCCTTTTTTTTGCCCTCTGACCAGCGACACCTTCTCCAAATCCCATTGATTTTCTCTTGCCCACAAGCCAAACTGCCTTCGAATTTGCTTCGAACATTAAATCCGGGATATTTTATGGGGATTTGTTTCCTTTCGACTTGTTTTTGAGATCCAAACCCGACAGAAGGAACAAGTGTTTCATTGGGCGCTAAACTTTTTGCTCTGTTTATTTATCCGCATCCACTCGAATTTTACAGTGTTTATGGGTGGGGTGTTAATTAGAAGGGTCTGTGAGAAAAGAAGAGGGAGTTTTAAGCAGGAATTTGAAAATTGTGGGAAGCGTATTTTAAAAACAAAATTGTTTTGGACTATTAGGAACGAAGCCTGAGGAATCCAAAGATTTTTAGCTCGCGCTAGGTGGCTTATAAGGTCATAATTTTTTTGTTCTTTTGAGTTTTTTGTAGCAAATTCTCCAGAGAAATGTAAAACGATTTTTCATGGATTTTCATTGCTTCTACTCCACAAATATTCTTGAATATCTTGGGTGAATTTGTAGGGAACGAGCCAAAATTTTTCAGTATTTATTTTGAGGTCTATGTGGATCAATCATAAAAAATATAAGATAAATTTTTGTTTTTTTGGGGCACAACTGTCGTATTTTGCAACCCTACCTCGATTTTTTACATTTTTTTCGCGATTTCCACTTTTTCGACCAAGAACTCAACTTAAAATTTCAGTCACCCCCTCATTTGGTGTCAAACTACATTCCAGGTATCTGCAAACCTCAAAAGTTATTATTACTTTTTTGTACTAACTACCAGTTTCAAAGCACGAAGATTGACAATTGGACCCAGTGAAGAGCGGTTGTTATGGTGAAACGGCCGCGAACAACGGTGTTCTCAACTCGGTGGTCAAAGAGCCGGCATTGCTAGAGGGTCAGTTGTGAGTTGTACTCTTTGTGGGTTATCGTTTTTGATTTTTAGAATAAAATAATATGATTTTTTGGGGCTAAAATGAAATTTTGCGATTTTTCGGGGATTTTGACCATTTTATTTTTGTCGGTTTTTTGAGGTATTACAAGAAAGTTTAAGCAAACACAGTAATCTTTGTGGACCTTACAGTGGCGGACCTGATCCAATGACAAAAAACGTACTGTTTTACATCCGGGAAGTATCAAAAGATGTGGCAAAATACCTCTCTCTCCAAGTGAAAAAACTACGTTTTGAAGGGCGCGCTCTTTCCCTTACAAAAAGACTCGGAGTTTTTTAGTTGGAGAGGGTGGTATTTTGCTTCATTTTTTGATACTTCCCGGATGCGAAATGGTACGTTTTTTGCCACTGGATCAGGCCCGTCACTGTATATGGATCCTGCAAACATGATTACCTTCTTTTTCAACTCCCAGTATTTACTCTGCCTCCCATATTTGGCCTTCAATTTGCTTAGAAGACCTAACTTTCACCGTTCTTATAATTAAACGTCAACCTGTACTCAGTAATCAAAGCAATACTCAGTAATACTCGGTAATACTGAGGAGGACAAATGACAAGTCTTGGTCTTTTCCTTTTACTTTTTTTAGCCGCGGGGACAGGTGGTTTTCCGAGTGTAAAGTAATTCAAAATTCGTTGTTCGTCAGTCTAGTGTGTGCAGAATTTGGGGGATTTTGTGCAGCGGACAAATTGTATTTCTGCCGGGTGCTTTTACAAAAGAAGTAGTCCAAGTGCAACGCTCAAATTTTGGTGAAATTTTTCGTATATTTTGAACGTAGGATATCAATTTGTGAAAATTTTAGCTTGGACTTTCCTGGGGCCGTCGTTTTTTTGTGATAACATTACTCTCCAGAGTAGAAATTGGTATGAAACTTTTCGTGCCACAATTCGACAAAAGTCATGGCTTTTATGCCGACTTTCGAGCTAAAAATTTTGGTCGTTTTTGCAAAGCGCGAATGGAAATTTTTCTTATGGAGCTGGTTCCAAGTTTCAGGACGACCTGAGAATTTCATTTTACGATTTTTACTGCAAAAATCCCGTTAGTCCATCCGTTTTACCATAGATTTCGCATTGACTGTTCAACGTTGCCTGACACTGTAAAAATTTACAATTGCTCTGTACTACAGTGACGGACCTGATCCAGTGGCAAAAAACGTACCATTTTGCACCCGGGAAGTATCAAAAAATGTAGCAAAATGCCTCCCTCTCCAACTAAAAAACTCCGTTTTGAAGAGCCCGCTTTTGAAAATCGTGGTTCTTTCACTTGGAGAGGGAGGTATTTTGCCACATTTTTTGATACTTCCCGGATGCAAAATGGTACGTTTTTTCCCACTTGATCAGATCCGCCACTGTAGATCGAGATATCAGACTACAGTAATATTATTCTCAAACATCCGACTCCATTCTTTCCGCCTCCGTTCCAGAGCAATTACCTATTTTTGGTTGCCATGGGGAAAGTCTAAGGGGGTCGGCGTTTTCGCTAACCGCGAAAAAAACTTGGAAATTTTGAAACTGACTTTGTTAGTGAGGACTGAGCGAAACGAGGGGGAATTTATGGAAATATGAGAAGAGAAGGGACTGGATATTTTATGTTATTTTAGTTTGTCCCGTTTCGAAGGTCGAATTTTTAGTCTTTTTTGGGGGTGACGTTTGGGAAAGATGGTTTGAATTTTTTGGAGGGAGCGCTTTAGGTTTGAAAAGATTTTTTTTAACGAAAAAGACGTCTTAAAAATGTAGTAAACGCTTTTTATAAACAAACAATTCTTTTTTTCGCTCTATCAGCCTGTCGGGAAAATAATGTGGATTCGTCGCGGCTTCAAATCGCCCATTATCGCTTTGACGCGGCTTCCTGAAGATTTATTGCGCGACTGCGGAGAGGCGAGACAATTTTTTTTGCTGCGGCAAATCCACATTATTTTCCCGACAGGCTAATACATAATAGTCGGGAAAATAATGAGGGTAGTGTCGGAAAAGAGCTGGCCCAATTCGTATGGCGAAAAAACGTCTGCGAGAATTTCCCCAGGACCCCAAAAATAAACCGGAAGAGCTTGTTGGGGGTTTCCATATACTATGGGACATTATTCGAGATTACTATGGGAGGGAGGGAAAAATAGACAATGGGGTGGGAAGAAAATTTTATTAGTCTGTCGGAAAAATAATGAGCACTCTTGAATTGAAGGGCAATTTGATTTTGCCTATGATTCATTTCCTCGGCGGTGATGCTATTTTCGCTGCGAAAGAGTGCTCATTATTTTCCCGACAGCCTAATAAAATTTTCTTCCCACCCCATTGTCTATTTTCCCTCCCATAGTAATCTCGAATAATGTCCCATAGCATTTGGAAACCCCCAACCAGCTCTTCCGGTTTATTTCTGGGTCCTGGGGAAATTCTCGCAGACGTTTTTTCGCCATACGGAATTGGGCCGAAAATGAGATTTTGCGAATGCGAAAAAACAGATTTTTCTCTCGGTTTCGAATTTACTCCAAAACCCTCCGGCGAAAAAAAGATGGATTGGGGTGGCGGGGAATCGGAAATGAGGACCAGCAGAATGGACAGAGGTTAAAGACGTTCGAATTGGAGGGCGAGATTTGTTTTTGGGCTTTTATCGAGCTTACAGGGGGGAATGGTCGAAAGTGTTTTACTCAAGCTTGGCAAAAAATTGGATTGTTCTCTAAAAAATTTGGGGGATTTTGAGCATGCGCTTTGTAGAAATTGTCAAGAGTATTAAATTGTTGGAAAATTGGCGAAAATTCAACTGATTTTTTTTTGTTTTTTTTTGAGTTCATCCATAATTTTTTCCCCTTTTTTTGGGCAATGCTTCTTCAAAAAAATCTATTTTTTCCGCACGAAATTGAGGGAGGTGTGGTCGAACACCATGTTTTTCTCTAACCGCTCTCCTGCTTTTACGTATTCTCTCGTCGGGAAAAGTGGCTGACCTATTGGCTGTCCCTGCCGGAGCTGAAATGTTTTTAGGCATTTATATTAGACGTAGTTTAACATTTTGTGGCCTTTGAAATCTTCATATGATGTTGGGCTTTGAAAAAATCGGCATGTTGTTGAGGAAAAAACTTTTTTTATATGAAATCGATGCAAAATTCTAAACTTACAGTATCTTTCCCCACAATGTTGATATTTCCTTGCCCCCTACGATTTGTGATAAAAGGGCTTGAACGGTTTTTTGAAAACTGAGGGACAAGATAAGAGGTCAAGAACGTTTTTTGTAAGCTTCAAAGTTTTTTCGCTGTAAAAATCCCTCTCTTTTCGATACAAAGCTTGCTCATTTTAAAATATGAAACAAAGGAGGAAAATTTGTGTAGTAGAATGACGTTGTAGACTAAGAAAAAAGTAAAAAGTTGTGGTTTTGTGGCTTGAATTGAGATTTTTCACTTTTAAAAATTTTATTAATGGCTCTCACGTATTTTACATTTTAGAATTTTTTAGAGATATTTCTGCAGAACCTCTGTCCACTATTCCCCGTACAAAAAAAAAATTGTAAAATACGACCCGGGAAAATGCGACATAATCACAGTGCTTTGTCCATATCTTCTTGCAGTTTGATTTTGCATTAAAAAAATTTTTTTGAACTTATCCTTATTGACTTTTTGATATCGAATGACTCACAATTAAACCCACTATCTCGATTTCCCCACTTTTCCTTCTCCCGAATGACGTTTGCACGGGATTTTTGGAGCCGCGATAGGGCCGGCTCGAGGAACGATTAGGGGGGTTTTTTTCGAAAAATATTTCTACGCTGACAAAGGACGTTAGTCGGACCGTTCTTCCGGTGTTTTGCATAAAACTCCGAGAGCGTTTTTATATTATTTTTGGACTGTTTCCCGATGTTCTTAGCAACGTAACTTTTTTGGGGATTAGAACGGCTTGTTTAAGAGAGGATAAGGACTTGGGAAAGACAAATTTTTGGCCATATCTTAGCGAGTTTATTGCGGAAAGAATTGATTTTCGTGGAAACATTACGTTCAGAAATAAGTATGAAACTTTTCGCGCCAAAATTGTGCCAAAATTAGCAAAAAAGTGTCAATTTTTGGTCGACCTTTGATTTAAAAATCTCGGCTGTTTGTGCAAAGCGCGAGCTAGGATTCTCGCATATATCCTAGAAAAAAAATATTCTAAATTTGTGTCAAGTTTCATTAAAATCTGAGCGTCACACTTGGGGTACTTCTCTTGTTAATACAGTCTGTGTATAACCATTTGGACAACCATAAACTTCATATTTAAAAAAAATTTTTTAAAAGAAAATCAAAATTTATGTATTTCGCATATTTTTACAAACTTTTTTCAACCTGTTTTATCAAAATGTTTTCTTCAGGTTACCAGAAAGATGGAGTCCAATTTAACAGTGGACACGTCGGGCGTGCGGCCGACGTCGACCGGCGGCGAGTCGATAAAAGTGGTCGTTCGTTGTCGACCAATGTCGGAAATGGAGGTTAAACAAGGGCATGAGAAGTAAGAAAAACCCAAAAAAAATTCTCGTTTTTCCAAAAAAAAATCTTATTTTTCAAAAAAAAATAAAAAATACTTTACCTTTTCAAAAAAAAATTTAAAAGACTCTTATTTTTTCAAGAAAAAATAAAAAAAATTAATTGAAAAAATAAAAAATTCCCTTTTTTTTAAGAAAAAATCAAAAAAAAAATCAAATTTTTTGTGTCAAAAGGACTTGTAAAGCACAAGCCATGCAAGTCTCTGCTTTTTCCAGTGTGGTGGAAATGTCGCCGAACCGCGGAGTTGTGGACGTGAAAAACCCCAAAGACGGGACCCTGAAGAGCTTCACCTTTGATTCGGTCTACGACCACAACTCGAAGCAGATGGACCTGTACTACGAGACGTTCCGCGACCTCGTGGATTCGGTCCTCAACGGCTTCAACGGCACGATTTTCGCGTACGGCCAGACCGGCACGGGCAAGACCTTCACGATGGAGGGCGTGGAAAGCGATCCCGCCCTGCGCGGCGTCATTCCCAACGCCATCGAGCACATCTTCCAACACATTGCGCAGTCGTCGAATCAGGAGTACCTGGTGCGCGTGTCGTACTTGGAGATTTATCAGGAGGAAATCCGCGACCTCATGTGCAAGGACGCGAAGAAGCGGCTCGAGCTGAAGGAGCGGCCGGATACGGGTGTCTATGTCAAGGATCTCACGTCGTTTGTGACCAAGTCGGTTCAGGTGAGCGAATATTTTCGGGCGTTTTGATTTGCAATTTAGTTGGCGAGGTTTCGAAATACAGTGACGGACCTGATCCAGTGGCAAAAAAACGTACCATTTTGCATCCGGGAAGTATCAAAAATACAGCAAAATGTCTCCCTCTCCAAGTAAAAAACTCAGTTTTGAAAGGCACTTTGAAGAAGAGTTTTGAAACCGGAGTTTTTTCACTTGGAGATGGAGGTATTTCGCTACATTTTTTAATACTTCCCGGATGCAAAATGGTACGTTTTTTGCCACTGGATCAGGTCCGCCACTGTATCAGTTTGTCGGGAAAATAATGATCGAAAATCGCAAATTAATTGTGTCGTGACAAAATCAAATTGCTTTTCACTTCAGCGACACGATTGGCCCAGCGACATTATGCTCATTATTTTCCCGACAGACTGCTACAATATTCTAGTTGTTTATGGGGTGTTTTTCAGACCCCATAAACTTCATTTTTTTGGCCAATTGAAAATTTTAACCGGGATTTTTTGGACGCCAAGAGACTCTTGGAATTCTATTTTGCTTTTTCTGGAGGAAGCCCGGCCCGATGGGCTTTCTCCACAAAACCTAACCCTAACAAAAAGTATTAATAATTTTTCAGGAAATCAAGCACGTCATGAAACTCGGCAACGAGAACCGGAGCGTCGGCCGGACAAGCATGAACGAGCACTCCTCTCGCTCCCACGCCATCTTCATAATCACCGTCGAGTCGTCGGAACGAGGCATTGACGGCAACAACCATATTCGTGTGGGTCGCTTGAATCTGGTTGATTTGGCGGGAAGTGAGCGACAAGCCAAAACCGGAGCGTCTGGGGAGCGGCTCAAGGAAGCGACAAAAATTAATTTGTCGCTGAGCGCACTGGGCAATGTGATATCAGCGTTGGTGGACGGGAAAAGCAGTCATGTCCCTTATAGGGACAGCAAGTTGACAAGGCTGCTGCAAGGTGGGTTTTGAGAAATCTTTTGCGGGGAAAATTGCGTTAGCGGAGAGAGATTTGTAAAATACGACAGTCATTTTCAACATGATGATGTAGCTGATAGATGCACTAAACTTTTTAGCTTTTTTCTCAAGGGATTTTTTTTAATTGGTCACAAAAAACGTATCCCGAGTTTTCGGGTCGACGACAGTTCGGATCAACACAAAATCTATCGATACGGGGCGTGGATGCCCAAAAAAGGTTGTAGAAGTGCCTGCGGCGCCTGGCAAAGCCGTTGGATGGTCGGCGGAGGCTCGGCGAAGACTTGCAATATGTCCACTTTTTCTAATTTTAGCTATTACTAAGGGTAGCTGTCTTTACCCTGAGTTATTGTAACATTTAAAAGACCAAAATTTGCGGTAAAAAACGAAGATCCGTTACTTTTATATAGAGATTAGGGATGTGAGAACATGTAAAGTACTTAAAAATAGATGAGAAGCTGTTCTAGGACCCGATTAATCTTATTATTTCTGCGAACTAATCCTTCTCCTAAAACAGACAACATCAACACATGAAACAAAATCGTATTTTACCATTTGCTTTCGTTTTTTGCCGCAAATTTTGGTCTTTTTTATGTTACAATAACTCTGGGTAAAGAGACCTAACCTTAGTAATAGCTAAAATTAGAAAAAGTGGACATATTGCAAGTCTTCGCCGAGTCTCCGCCGACCATCAAACGGCTTTGCCAGGCCTCGTAGGCACTTCCTACAACCTTTTTTTGGGTATCCACGCCCCGTGTCGATCGATTTGGTGTTGATCCGAGCTGTTGTCGACCCAAAAAGTCGAGATACGTTTTTTGTGACCAATAGAAAAAAAAATCCCTTGAGAAAAAAGCAAAAAACTTTAATGTAAACAACAATTATCATGTTAAAAATGAGTCCTGTATTTTTAAAATTTCTACCTGCTCGAGGCCCCATATTGATTTTTTTGGCGGCGAAGAAAAAAGACTTCGTATTTTACCAAGAATTTTCTCCTCCCAGCGTGCTTTTTCTCTAACTTTGCCTCTATTTTCAGACTCGCTCGGCGGAAACTCAAAGACCGTGATGGTGGCGAATATCGGACCTGCCTCGTACAACTACGACGAAACAGTGAATACGTTGCGGTATGCGAATCGCGCCAAGAACATCAAAAACAAGCCGAGAGTCAACGAGGACCCGAAGGACGCCATGCTTCGCGAATTCCAAAATCAAATTGCGGAGTTGAAACGGAAGTTGGAGATGCGGATGACGTCATCGGGGAAGAGGAAAAAGAGAAGGCCAAAGACGGCGACGAGCATGACGAGCGATGAAATTACGGAGGAAGGTGGGTATAAAAAATGTTTTTCTAGCAATGAGAGCCTTCAAATCCGACGCACAGCAAGTGGGGGTCAAGTCTGACCATCATGGGTCAAGTTTTTCTCTCTCGGAAAACATGCTGTGCAATTCTCTGATTTTTTTTCAAATTTTGCACACGCGTAGCGCATGGGCTACATATCAATTTCTGAAAGTTTTAGCTTGCCCTTTGTAGGCGCAACTGATATTTTAAACCATCTTTGTCGCCGTGAGAGTATGTGAAATGCGGAGAGCGAAGAGGGAAAAACACTTTTTGCTCGTATCTTCGCCAATTTTGCGCGGAAAAAGTCAATTTTTTTGTGGAATGATTACCCTCTATGGTAGAAATAAGTATGAAATTTTTCAAGTCAAAATTCGCTAAAAAGTGTCAAATTTTTGCAGAATTTTGATCTAAAAATCTCGGCAATTTCTGCAAAAAGGAGAGGTAGGTTTGTCACGTGTATATTAGAAAGAAATAGTTCTAAATTTGTGCCAAGTTTCGTCAAAATATGAGCACTTCCCTTGTACAGTGGGGGACCTGATCCAGTGGCAAAAACGTACCATTTTGCATCCAGGAAGTTTCAAAAATGTGGCAAAATGCTTCCCTCCCCAAGTGAAAAAACTCCGATTTCAAAAGCGCGCCCGCTCTTTTTGTGAGGGAGCCATTCAAAACGAAGTTTTTTCTCTTGGAGAGGGAGGCATTTTGCCGCATTTTTGATACTTCCTGGACGCAAAATGATGCGTTTTTTGCCACTGGATCAGGTCCGTCACTGTAAGCTTTTCAAAATCTCCCTCTCTTTTCAGAAGATCCCGAGGCCTACCTTCTGGAACAGCAACGCCGACTGGATGATGAAAGAGAGCAAATCCTCCGCAACAACGTCCTTGTTGAAGAGGAAAAGCAGCGGATGCTGAAGGAAATCGAAGACAGGGAAAACGAACTGGCCCGCGAGTCCGAAGCCAAGGCCGCCATCGAGGAGAAGCTGCAGAAAATGCAAAGCAAACTGCTGCACGGCGCCGGGAATCTGCTGGATCAGACGCGCGAGCAGCAGCGGTTGCTGCAAGAACGGCAGATCGAGCTGGCCGAGCAGAAGAAGCGAGAACGGGAGATTTTACAGCAGCTGGAAAAACAGGATGAGAATACCGCCGAATTTCATGAGACATTCACGAATTTACAGCAAGAAATTGAAGTGAAAACGAAGAAATTGAACAAGTTCATAAAGAAATACAAGCAAATCGGAGAGGAGATTGAAGAGACGGTGGAGGTAAACTCGAAGGAAAGACAACAACTAGAAGAGAGCATCAGCAATATGAATAGAGAGCTGAAATTGAAGTGAGTTTTTTTGGGAGCACACTGCAGAAAACGGTTTTAAAAATCGGCTGAGGAAGCCTCAAGCCTGCCAGTTTATGAGAAAAATCTCTGGAGTGAGTTTTGGCGACATGCACTGTGCGAAAACGAAGGTTCACTTTGCACTATGCAATTTCTTGATTTTTGCACCGTGCAATGGTCTTTTTTGGGCTGTCGTTCGATTTTAACCGCTAAAAACCACCCCAGAGACTTTACGAGCGGACTACAGTGGCGGTGGCAAAAAATGTACCATTTTACATCCGGGAAGTATCAAAAATGTAGCAGACTACTAGCCTGTCGGGAAAATAATGTGGATTTGCAGCATAAAAATGTCTGACCTCGTCGTGCACCAAATCAACAGCTGGGACCTGATCCAGTGGCAAAAAACGTACCATTTTGCATCCAGGAAGTATCACAAAATGTCGCAAAATACCTCCCTCTCCAAGTAAAAAACCTCCAATTTCAAAAGAGCGGCTCTTTTTGTGAGGAAAAAGGCCCTTCAAAACGGAGTTTTTTAGTTGGAGAGGGAGGTATTTTGCTACATTGTTTGATACTTCCCGGAAGCAAAATTATATATTTTTCCCCGGATGCAAAATGGTGCGTTTTTTGCCATTGGATCAGGTCCGCCACTGTAGTATAACCATACGTGTAATAGTTCTGCCGGAGAGTCGCCGGACTGAAATCAGCGACTGTGAGAAGACAAATTTTCTTTGCACTGTACGATTTTTTTCTTTTTGCACCGTGCAATAGGCTTTTTTTTCTGCTGTCGCTCGCACCCTGACTTCTTTCGCACAATTACGAACGCCTAAAATCAATCCGGCGACATGCTAGCCCTTCCGGAAAGTCGCCGGACTGATTTTGGGCGTTTGCACTGTGAAAAAAAAGTCAGGGTGGGGCGACAGCCCAAAAAACCTATTGCACGGTGCAAAAAGCAAGAAACTGCACAGTGCAAAGAACTTTTGTCTTCTCATAGTGCGTGTCGCCGATTTCTGTCCGGTGACTTTCCGGAGGGACTACAGCACACATCAAAAAAAAAAACCTTTTAGAAAATTGAAAAAACAAGGAATCTCGGATCATTGATTTTTTTTGCGAAGTGCCACAGAATTATCGAGTTCGAAAAATGATTTTTTCGCTTCGAAAAAACATTTTTCTCGAAAAAAACTTTTTCTCTGGGAACTTTTCTTTTGTGATTCGATAGTTCGGCGACATTTCGTCAAAAATCAATGATCCGAGATCCCTTGTTTTTTACGTTTTTTTGACGTATAGCTTCAAAAATCTCTCGCTCCCCCAAAAAATCTTAATTTTCTATCCAAACTCGCTAAATTTTCAGATGGCTAATAGTCGAAAATTTCATTCCTCCCGATGTCGTTCAAAGTCTTCGCGCTCGCGCCGTCCTGGACGAAGACGAAGACACCTGGTACATTCTGAAGCCGGGCGAACAACCCAGGCCGAAGAGTCGGGATTCCAACAACCAATCCGTGACGGAGAAGCCGATTCTCCGCGAAATGATGGACTCGGGACTTGGTGGCGGGAACAGTGACACCAGCTCCACCGACTCGGCAATTCCCGGCCAAAACGCGAAAGTCGAGTCGGGCCGAAAGGTGGTGAATGCGGCCGCCATCAAACGACCCTACGCCAATCCCGCCGCCAAACGCTTCTGCCTCGATTCGGAGCGCCAACTGTTGACGCAACTCCGGCAACGCTACTTGCGCTCCGGCCCCCATCTCGCGCGCCCAATGTCCGGCTCGAAGCTGGAGAACGTGTTCAAACAACCGCTCGCCGTCGAATGTCCGGAGACGGTGCTGAGGTTTCAGACCGAAAACTTGCTCACTTTCACCTCACTTTTGCCCTTCCCTTTGTCCGTCCGCGACGATTATGAGTTCGCCTGTCGACAGGAGCCGCAAGTGGTGGGTTTATGAAATTTTGGTGGCTTTTTAGACAAATACAGTGACGGACCCGATCCAAGTGGCAACAAACGTACCGTTTTGCATCCGGGAAGCATCAAAAATGTGGCAAAATGCTTCCATCTCCAAGAGAAAAAACTTCGTTTTGAAAGGCTCCCTCATAAAAAGAGCGGGCGCGCTTTTAAAATAGGAGGTTTTTTCACTTGGAGAGGGAAGCATTTTGCCACATTTTTGTTACTTCCCGAATGCAAAATGGCACGTTTTTTGCCACTGGATCAGGTCCCCCACTGTAAGCTTTGAAATACGGTGCATAAAGTTGGTTTAAAACACGATTTTTGAGCCACTGCATCGGCCAGTAGTGAGGCCCGGTCTTATTGTTAGGAAAAAATCGATTTTGACATTTTTGGCTTAAAATAATCGCTAGCACTTGTGGAAGAAAAGCTAAAAATATTTTTTTCCCAATTATGCCCGGAAGGCTTATTATTAAATACTAAAATTTGCTTCGAAGTCATTAGTACAGCCTCGAGGTTCAGAAAACTCTTAATACTGTTGTGTTGTCGTATTTGGGCTTGTGAACTTAATATAGAACCTTGAATAGGGCCCTCAATTCACGTGTTCTAACCAAGCTCGTGACAGCTATCAAGCGATTAAAAAATTCAAGATTATTTTTCACATGCAAAGCTTCCTGTTCGCTGCAGAAACGTTAGTGTTTCAAGCAGTCAAGCTGCATGAAAATTTTACAAAAAGTATATAGAAAAAAGTCTTTCTAAAATACAAAGTATCATCTCTCTACTTCCTAAAACTTGACTGTTTTTTATATCGAGATTTATTTCCCATTCCACCTTCTCTAAACTACACTTTTATCGCCCATTAATATCACTTTTGAATTGAAAATTTAATGGCTGATTAGGCCATTAATTGCTCAATGTAAAAGCTATAAAATCACCTTCTTAAAGGTCCTAAAAGTACACGTAAAACACTTTTCTACCCTGTAAATTAACCTCTGATCTTTTTCCAGCATTTCAGCTCCGCCCGCGCCTAAATTAAATTAACGCCCTCGGGGCGAATTACTTAAAATATGTCTCCAATTAGTCTGGAAGCTTCGTTGGTTGCACAACTCATTCAATCGATGCGTTTCCCCGGTGTTATAATCAAATTTTTGCAGCCGTCGCTGACCTTTAGCAATAAAAAAAACGAAGGTGAATTAAGTCCGAGATTAGAGAAGAAATGCGGTTAGCGGGGGACGAATAAAGCGAATATTCACTTTATTCACCGATATAACCTTGAATTGGGCTGTTTGTTAACCTGCGGAGGCGCTTCAAGAACTCGAGAGTTGCTACAAATGTTTGGTTTTTTGAGTTTTGAAAGGTTTTTTGAGGGTACTCTGAATACCCTTTCTATTGTACTTTTATTTTCTTGATACTTTGCTTATAAAAACAGGATGGCCAACGTACCAACATCTAAAAATATTAGCTTGTCGGTTGCAAGAACGAACGAGATATTTAGCCGTCTATGCCAATGGCATAGCTGGGGGGAGAGGAGAGGTACACGTCAAACTGAGATAAGCTAAAACAGTCCGGTGAATGGATTGGGAATTTGCCAAAAAAAGACGCGAAAAAAGGTTTTGTCGGGGAAGAAATGGGGAATTTTTGGGGCGAGAGAGTACGCTTTTGCGTGACTTTTTTCTCTCTTTCTCTGGAAATCAAGACGAAATGTAAAAAACCGATAGCGAAGAGTCTATTCCGGTCACCGGACTCCTCAGTTTGACGTGAGGTACCCTCCTCCCAGAAAAAAATGAAAAAAAATTTTTTACATGGTAGCCCGAAGCTTAGCAAATAGATGGCCCTGATCCGAAGCTAACCGTTTTTGGCCACATCTCTGGTTATATCAGTCTGTCGGGAAAATAATGTGGATCCGTCGCGCCTTGTTATCTCCTTTCCCCATAGCTTTTGGACGGCTCACCGGAGCTGTTGGTTTGGTGCGCGACGAATTTTTTTCTTGAGTGGCGTTGCGATAAATGTTTTAGGGGGTTTTCTCCCCTTACAAACCAAAATTAGTCAGCTAAATTTTACATATTCTGAATCAGAAGAATTTTGCGATTTTTTTTGGTATATGTCTCGACCTGTTACTCCATACCTCGTAGAAGTACTTTCCTTGTGAGGTAAATCCACATTATTTTTCCGACAGGCTAGTAGTCTGTCGGTAAAGTCGCTGGAGTGATTTCTGCGACAAGAAATGTGAGAAAACAAAAGTTTACTTTATAATATGCAATTTCTTGCTTTTTGCACCGTGCAAATGGCTTTTTTGGGCTGTCACTCGCATCTGGCTTTTTTTCGCACAGTGTTGACGCCAAAACTCAAGTCCAGCGGCTTTCCGGAAGCCGATCCTTTAAGTCGAGTATTTCCTATCATAGTTGATGTCATCGGGCGTTGTGAGTGTTTCAAATATCGCTTTAACGTCACTTGAACCCCTTTGAAGTCCTCCCCGTTTGCTGAGGGCGCTCCAACTTTTCTGTTTGTATTTGAATTTGCGCAAAACAACATAAAAAAGAGTCAAACAAGATTTCGAAAAGCCGCGGTAATTTGAGAATAGGCGGCTGGGGAATGATCGCTCATGATTCGCAAATATAATAGCCATATTGCGGGGCGGTGTCGTCGTATTCCTGTAGCCGGAATTCTAGGTTTTCCACTACGCAAATTACGGTGGATTTTTGGGAGTTTTTTAAAAAATTTTTGAAGCATTGCAATCTTTAAATTACCTATGGTAACATGCGTAGTAGATATCCGTTTGTCGGGAAAATAATGACCAAAATTTTGCTGAAAAAAGCGATTTGATTTTGTCGCGACGAAATTCATTTTCTCGGCGGCGAAGCCATTTTCGCTGCGACAGAGTACTCATTATTTTCCCGACAGACCGATAATATGTACTTTTAATATTACTACATTTAAATCAGATGTTTGTCACATGAAGTTGTTTATTTTTTCGCCCGATTTTTAATTCACCATTCGGTCCAGCGTCTACTCTTCCTTATCAACGAAACTTGTAAGCAGCCAAAGTTACAAACTGTTTTTCATTTTTTTGTCAGCTTGCTGATATAAATTTGCACTAAATTTTGCAGTAAATTGATGACAAAAATTATGTTTTGAGTCGTCAAATCTTCCAAAACGTCCCCTTTCAGTTCAATTTTTCAAAAAAAGTAAAAATAAAAATAGAACTGAATGTTTTATTATATAAGAGTGAAGACAGAAGATTTCGGAGGAAAATTTTGAAAATTTTTCGAATTCACTTTTTTTTCGATTTTGGAGTAAAAATTTTTTTTTACTCCCAAAAATGCCGAAAAAAAAGTAAACACGAAGTTTACTCCAGAATTTGGAAAAAATCTTGATTTTCGGGAGTAAACTGGGAGTTTACTCGCCGGGGCCGAGAAATCGAATGGCGGCGAGTAAATCTGGATTTTGCTCGCTTCCAATTATTTCCTCAGCTATCACAAAGGCACAGATGACCTAGGACGTAAGGCGGGCGGCGTTAGTAAATAATTCGCGCCAAACTTACGAAAAATTTTGCCGAATCCTGACTGGGAGCCTCCCAGTCAGGAATCCCGCGATTCCTGCAGTCAGGAATGTTTTTGACTGGGCGGCCTCAAAATCGACATCCCAGTCACCTGAGACGAAGAAACGGGGAGAAAAAACGAAGAGAGCGAGAGAAACGCGCGCTATTTCGTGCTCTCTCTGCCTCTCTGCGCCCTCTCTTTGTTTCCCGCTCTTTCGCTCTCTCTCTCCTTTTTTTTGCGCTCTCTCGCTCTTTCTTTCGGAAAAGAGAGAGAGAGCGTGAAACGGAAAGAGGGCGCTGAGAGGCAGAGACAGCACGAAATAGCGCGCGTTTCTCTCGTTCTCTTCGTTTTTTCTCCCTATTTCTTCGTCCTAGTCAACAGTTATTGACCCCCCACCCAGTCAAGAATCGCGGGATTCCTGAATGGACCACAGTCAGCAAGTTTTGACTGTACGAAGAGTCAGGAACCCCGCGAATCCTGACTGGAGCCTCCCAGTCAGGATTCGGCAAAATTTTTCGAAAGTTCGGCGCGAATTACTAACGCAAATAAAAAATTTTTTTGCGTCTAGGGGTCAACTGTTCCCCGGGAGTAAACTCTGGATTTACTCGCCGGCACCTTCGGCGAGTAAATTCTGAGTTTACTCCAAAAAAAGGCGAAAAAAAAGTAAACTCGGAATTCACTCCAAAAATGGAAGTTTTGAAAGCTATTTCGATTCCTTCTCGCCGACCCATAAAATTTCTCGATTTTTACTCTCTTTTTCAAAAAAAAGTGAATTCGAAAAATTTTCAAAATTTTCCTCCGAAATCTTCTGTCTTCACTCTTATATTTTAAAAAACATCATATGGTTTTGCACACATTTTTCAACCGCTTTAACGATATTATTGGTCTTTCCGTTTTCGGAACACCCAAGTCTCTCTCCGACCCGTTTTCCTCGCCCATTTTGAGACGTTCGACTTTTGGCGGGCACAACTTTTTTGGCGGCCCTTTTACGGCCCGAGGTTATTTATGTTTTGTTCGAGGAAGGTTGTTGGGAAGAGTTGGTCAAAACAAAACTTTTTATGCTTATTGTCTGTGGAAAAAAGATTCGTATTTTAGCAGGCATAGCAGAGGCTTTGGAAATTTCAAAACTCCGGGCCGACCTTTCCTGAGGCTGGGCTTGGGGTTCGGTCTAATTTTGGGACCCTTCAGAAAAATTTTTTGTATTGAAAAAGAAAATAGAGGTTGTGGGCAGAGATTACCACGATCAAAATTTCGGCTCCGGCTCCCGGCTCCCATGAAAAACTTAAAAAGGTCTGCGGCTCCAAATCCCGGCTCCCGTGCAAAAAAATTTTTTTAATATTTTTCCGAAAAATAAACGTTATTAGTGCCAGAGATCATACACCCAACGTTTTTGCAACCAAGTTGTATGCAACACATCCTTCCCAGTATTTTTCAATCAATTTGGTTTAACAAGATCATGAAAATTTTACTTTTCTGAACGCTGAGAAGCCTGGCTCCGACTTTGGGCTCGGGAGCCGGAGCCCCAACCAAAATTTCCGGCTCCGGCTGTGGCTCCCGGCTCGGAGCCGGAGCCAAGAGCCGGTTCCGGAGACGTGGCAATCTCTGGTTGTGGGTGACTTTTAAAAAGTTTCAAGACTATTTAGAGCACTGCGGGCACTGTAAAGTTGTTTATTTTCAATTTGATAGCCCACATTGGGTCAAAAAACATAATGCCAAAATATTGCCAAGTTGGCGGGAAAATTGCCATTCAAAATTATTCAAAAAAAAAATTTTTTTTTTACTACGAGAAAGTGCCAGTCTGTCGGCAAAATAATGTTTACAAAGTCGCTGCACAGATCGCGTCGCTGAACTGAAAAGCAATACGATTTTGTCGCGACACAATTCATTTTCTCGGCGGCGATTTTCCATGCGACAGAGTGGTCATTATTTCCCCGACAGACTGGTATTTTCTGCCGTATTTTACCAGAATCTACGTGTATTTGATCCAAAATTGTTTGACAATTTCCAGATTCGATTGCCTGCTGACCGTTATACGGCCTTTCCGCAAAGACATTTGTTTATTTGTCGTATTCCAATCGGATTACTTTTGATGTTTCCAATCTTTTTTTGTAATGTTTTTCGCAAAAAAACTGGCTTGAGAACAGTCGAATAGATTGGTATTCAAATTGGTTTCTCACTTCCCTCTCATTAGTTATGGGCTGCTGGTTATTGGAACGGATGAGCGGAGGGGAAAGTACGAAAGAAAGTCTGGCTTATTAGGCTTCTGTTTGGATTTTTTGGGGATGCTGACAGGACAAGCGAGGTGGGCCAAGTGCAACGCTCAGATTTTGTTTAAATTTCGCAAACAATTTAGGCCAAGGGCGCATTCTAGTCCTTCCGGAAAGTCATCTGAGTGCTTTTTGGCGCCTGCATTGTGCAAAAGCAAAAATTCACTTTGCACTGTGCAATTTCTTGCTCTTTGCGCCGTAGGCTTTTTTGGGCTGTCGCTCGCACACTGACTTTTTCTTCACGGTGCAAACCTCAAAAATCAGTCCAGCGACTTTCCAAAGAAATGACTACAGTGAGGGACCATCCAGTGGCAAAAAACGTACCATTTTGCATCCGGGAAGCATCAAAAATGTGGCAAAATGCTTCCCTCTTCAACTAAAAAACTTCGATTTGAAAGGCGCGCCTTTTCCCTTACAAAAAGAGCGCTTTTGAAGTCGAAGTTTTTTCACTTGGAGAGGGCGGTATTTTGCTACATTTTTTGATACTTCCCGGATGCAAAATGGTATGTTTTTTGCCACTGAATCAGGTCCACAACTGTAGTACAAGGTGGTTCAGCCGGAGCTTCCAACCTTATTTCAAGTATTTCTCCGCCAACAATGCACCAATTTTGATAAAATTTATATCAAATTGAAGCTTAGGTACCCCATTTTTTGTCTACCAGAGATGGCATGCCCAAGTTTACGGGGGCCCTCGTGCTGACCTTTTTTATTTTTTTTTCCAAATTTTCGAGCCCGAAATCAGTGAAACTTACGAAAATTTTTGCAATGATTTCGACTGATTTTCTCGGACTTGGAAAGTATTCGAGTGTCCCTTTTAGCTCAGCTCTTCCCTTTCACCTGATTTATCCAAATTTTTCTTCAAGATAACCCTCAATACAGTAATTTCTGCCCATAAAAATAAATCTGTCTTCTCCTCTTCCCCCTTTCCAGCCAGCTCCTTCAAGCTCAGGACAAGCATTTGGCGACGCGAGATAAATAAGATAAGAGCCAAAAACAAGACCTGAAGCGCCGTTTCGCCCCTTATATGGCCGGCTATTTTATTTCCTCTATTTTTTCGGGCCGAAAAGTGGAAGTTCGAATCCTTCCTTTTTTCTTCAATATTTTGCGCGCGCAATATTTTTTGATTAAAAATGCGCTCAAGAGTGGAGAGGGGGCTCGGGAAATGAGGATTAAACCAGGGCTTTCTTGCGATAGTTGCGCTATAAGTGCGTGCAAATCATAGTTTGATGAATGTTGCGGGTTTATGTGGGAAGATCTATTTACATACTTGCCGCATTGCCTTCAACATGACACAAACATTTATTTGTTATATGTAAAAGGGATTCTTTATACGAAGGCCAAAAATAGGTCCCACGGCTCGTGAAATTGATCGTTGTAAAGAGAGTTGATTGTATTGAAGTCTGTTGTATTATACTACCCGAGTCAAAAGACCTGGTAATTTTTCACAGTGTGGGTTTGGGCTTTCTCGTTGCGGCATAATTCTACCCCTTTTCTGAACTCTACCCCTTTTTCAACTCTACCCCTTTTTGAACTTTACCCCTTCTCCCCCTTGAATGAACTCTCCCCCTTTTTGAACACTCCCCCTCATTTTGAAAATTGAAAAATTGAGGTGAGACATCTTATACGATGAAATTTTTTTTTTTTTTTTTAAATTTTTTAAAAATTTTTCTTCGTATAAGATGTCACATCTTATTTTTCTCAAAATTTTTCTCAATTTGAAAGAAATTTTCATCGTATAAGATGTCACACCTCGTTTTTACAATTTGTAAAAAATTTTCATCGTATAACGTGTCACACCTCGTTTTTTGAAATTTCAAAGTGGGGGAGTGTTCAAAAAAGGGGTAGAGTTCAGCCTTTTTTAGGGTAGAGTTGAAAAAGGGGTAGGGTTCAGATTGGGGGAAAGTTCAGAAAAGGGGTAGAGTTCAGGCTCAACCCGGCTTTCTGGCGCGTCGCTGCGAAAATACAGAGGTTTTACTGCAATGCGGGAAAGTTTCAATAAGCAATACGAAATTTCTCAATATAAGTTTAAAAATACGTATATTTTTGCAATTTTCGGCCAATCGCAAGGCCCTAGGAAAATAATAATAATAATAAAGGTTTTGCTTTGGTCTCTTTCCCTATAAAGGAGGCTTTGGTAACTTTATCCACGCTCCTTTTCCTTCATCTTTTTTTAATGGCATGAAAGAATGTGTCCGTTTGAGGAATGCCTCTTCATCTAGAAGATGCCAGCCATATTTTCTCGTATTCTTTGAACGATAAATTTGGATTATAATAAATGAGCGGGCTTAAAAAATTTTTTTTATTGGGTTTGAAAATTTTGGCTTTTTGATGGCCAATAAAATTTATTTCTAAAATACGGCTCCTTTTCTCAAAATTCAGACTGAATGGTGGTCTATAAATCGCCCGATATTACTTACAATGTCCATTCTCTTTCTCGTTATTACTCATTTTCCATTTCTCTCCCCGACTTCCGGGCGATTATTGCTCTCGTTTTTTTCCGGTTGATTCACATAAAGCGAGGGAATTCGATTGACTTTATTCGATCTCTACTGCCTCAGGGAATCGAGATTTTTTTTATTTATTTATAGCTACCGTATTTTAAAAATTTTGATTTTTTTTAAATAAAAAAAAATTTATTATATTAAATTAAACCTATCTTGATTGTAGGCCCCGCTACAGCGCTCCGACAGCTCGAACGTCATAATCGACGCCTCCAAAATCCCGGTTCCCCGATCTGCCAGCAGGAGTGGTCGTCCAACTTCGTCAAGGTGAGAAATTAAAAAGATTTTTGTGAAATTTTATTCAACAAAAAAAATTTTCGCAATTTAGGGTATTTTTTGCTAATTTTATTTTATTATTTTTATTTTTTTAAATTAAAAAAAATTTTTTGTTTTTTTTTATAAAAAAAAATTTCTTTGTTTTTTTAAAAAAATTTCACGCAGACCTAAGATCTTTTTGCTTATTTTATTTTTATTTTATTTTTATTTTTTTTTTTATTTTTTAAAATTTAAAAAAAATTATTATTTTTTATTTTTTTTAAATCTAAAAAAAATTAAAAAGATTTCACACCTATCGAAGATCCCTCAAAACCATATTTTTCTAAATTCCAACCACCTAAAACTTTTTTTTCGAACTCTTTTCCCAGGCCAAAATTAGGGTATTTTTTTGCTAATTTTATTTTATTATTTTTATTTTTTTAAATTAAAAACAATTTTTATTTTTTTATAAAAAAAATTTTTTTGTTTTTCTAAAAAAAATTTCACGCAGACCTAAGATCTATTTATTTATTTTTATTTTATTTATTTTTTTTTATGTTTTTTAAATCTAAAAAAAATTAAAAAGATTTCACACATATCTAAGATCCCTCAAAACTATATTTTTCTAAATTCCAACCACCTAAAACTTTTTTTTCGAACTCTTTTCCCAGGCCAAAATCAATTGGTCACTCAGGATTTAGTGGGCCCGAAAAAACGAAAAGAAACAGCCGAATGGCATTCGCTGACAAGGCTTTTGGATTAGTTTTTGAGAAATGAACCTCCGACCGGAAACGATTCTTCAACAGATCTACTTTTTTTTCCGATGTTAAATTGTGTTTACAATTAGGTAGGGGCAAAGAGAAAACGCCGGCTTATATTGGTCTGTCGGGAAAATAATGTGCAAAATGACGTATCCAAAATCGGATCACCGCCCTGAAAATGATTTGTGTTGCGGCAAAATTAAATTGCTTTCATTTCAGCGACGCATTTGGCTCAGCGATATTGGGCTCATTATTTTCCCGACAGACTGATATAAGAAATTTTTTAGAAATTCAAAATTTAATTTTTACCTTTTTTTAACATTTATGAAAACGTTTTTCTTATTTTTTTGAAGAAAAATTCAAAACATTTGAAATCCCGCCATTTTTGGCATTCTGTTCTAGAGGCCAATAAAGCATAAGACAATGTTTTGAAGTGTCCGGAAATTAATTGTAGGATGTTAGAATGAGTAATCCACCTTGTCCTTTGATTTAGTGGTGCTTTAGACTAGATTTATATTATTCATGATACTTCTAAAAAAAAATTTTTGAAGAAATTTGAGTTTTTTTTCGATTTTTGATATTTCAAAGGGGATAGATAAGGCTGTAAATTGTATTAGATGTTGTTTATAAAAGTTGAAGGTCAAAAAAAATATTTGCAATAAAATTTTTAACCATTTCCCCCGATTTTCCCACCTAATTTCCGCCCCACTTTCAGACGGAGCTCCTCGCTGTCAAAAAACGTGCGTGCCCGCAGCGTGCTCTCGACCCCACCGCCTCCCGTGCAGCCCCCCAGTCTTCAGTCCACCTCCACCCACGAGGAGGCGGCCACTTTCTCCGCCGACCGTCCGCCGGCCGCGCCCGCGCGTGGCGCCGCCAACGGGCTCACCGGCCGGCTTCCCGACCCCTTCTTGACGCAGCGCCCGCCCACGCCGCCCACCGCCAAGCACTCGGCGTTGAGGGCGCCCACCGCGTCCAGCGCGCTGGTCTTCCCGAAGGCGCGGGGATTGGTGGCGGGAAGACGGTAGGAAATGCCACAGAGAATATTAATAGAGGTGATTTGGATCATCTGAGGCTGTGTAATGACCGATTAAGGCATTCAGAAGGCGATTTGGGCCTTCTAAATGATACAACATTAGATTTCAATGCCTCAGAACACAAATCACCCTCCGAAAATCCCTCCACCCGTCTAGCATGGGAGCTGGCGGAGGATGAAGATGAAACCAATCAATTTTACGACCAAAATATCGACCTTTTCGACCGATTGTCCGCGAAAATCACTTTGAACTCGCTCCTCGGACAAAGAAACAATGAATATTACACTGTAAACGAAAGCCACGAGAACCCCCGAAATGGCCCAAAGAACGGCCGAAACAGTGGCCTTTCGGTGGCCGAGAACAAAGCCGAAGACCAACGGAACAACAACCATGTTACACTCGACCTCATGAACAATCAAATCGCGGAGAAAAAACGCCAAAAAGACCCATTCGCCCGCTTGAATTCGCGCCTTCAATTGACTGTTGAGATGCTCAACGACTACGCCTTGGACTACACCAACGATCAGCCCAAGTATGGAGGCAATGCGACGACGAATTTGCTTTCAAATACTCCTCGATTCGGCTTCAAATTCGAGTCGAAGCCGATGAATATCATGACGGATTCGGATGGAAAGTATTCGAATTTTTTGGGCACACCATACAAAAAATCGTCTTGTTCGTCGTCGCAGCGGATGTCCTCGGTTTCGTCGAGTTCCCCGTCGATTAAAGATCAGCATTCTCCGTCGTCAGGGGTGTTCACCGACCCGGAAGATCCCCCATGCTACGGCGATGGGGTTGATCCGGCCATGGTGCTGTCGGCGATTGAGAATATAAGGTGAGTCGGATGTTTCATATGAGTAATAGATAAGAAAAGATCGAGCGATTTTTTGCGGAAAGACAATTTTTTTGTAAAATAAGCATAAAAAATCGCAGAATAAATGTTATCAGTCTGTCGGGAAAATAATGAGCACTCTGCCGCATGGAAAATCGCCTCGCTGAAGTGAAAAGCAATTTGATTTTGCCGTGACACAATTCATTTTCTCGGCGGCGATGCGATTTTCGATGCGACAGAGTGCTCATTATTTTCCCGACAGACTGACAAAATGCTTGGGACACTGTAAAGATTTTATTTTCAAATCGCGGTCCTTCAGAAAGCCTATCAAACATCTCCAACGTGTCCTAAACATAATAAAATTCACAAACTACAGTGGGGGACCTGATCCAGTGGCAAAAAACGTATCATTTTGCATCCAGGAAGTATCAAAAATATAGCAAAATACCTCCCCCTCCAGGTGAAAAATGACGGATTTCAAAAGCGCGCCCTTCATAATGAAGTTTTTTTCTCTTGGAGATGGAGGCATTTTGCTACATTTTTGATACTTCCTGGATGCAAAATGGCACTTTTTTTGCCACTGGATCAGGTGCGTCACTGTATCACGGCATTTCGTTCCAAGCGGTTGTTACTATACCAAAATACGCCATGAAGTTCGTATTCCTTCTGAATTTTCAGACCCTACTCCAAGAAGCCTCCAATTCCACCAGTCCGCTCGCTAAGTCGTTGTTCATCCACTTCGTCCGTTCCTTTCCGGCCCTTCAAACCCACCAAGATTCCTCAAATGTCCCGGTCCATGATGTCCACGCCGGACGCTTCCCCATCTCGTCCTCCGTGGCGAATGTCGTCCTCAATGTTTTCGCCAACCCTCCGCGAAGGCTATCTCGATTCGTCACATGGCTCTTGCGAACAACTGGCCGAAGTGGAGGGTTTCGAAACACCAAGACAAATGATGTCCAATTCGTCGACCATTCGTTGCATTTCGAGGATCATCCCCATGCCTCCGGCCATTGTTTCGCCACTTTGCACGGTCCGACTACGCGCCAGAACCGAGAGCCCGCCACCGGACTCGATGAACTGCTCCATGAACTGGGAGGCGTCGATGATGAGCCAGAGCGTTTACGCGCCAACGGAAGAGGAGAAGAGAGCGGTGGAGGAGAGATGGAAGATTCGAGACATGGACAGGTTCAAGTGAGTCAATCGAATTTTTGTTGAATTAGATACGCTGATCGCGCTTTGTTGACATTTTTAGGGGCCTAGGACAAATTGACAAAGTTTTGTTCTTGATCAAGTGACAAAAAATGTACCATTTTGCATCTGGGAAGTATCAAAAAATGTGGCAAAATACCTCCCACTCCAAGTAAAAAACTCCGATTTCAAAAGCGCGGCTCTTTTTGTAAGAGAAAAGGCCCTTCAAAACGAAGTTTTTTCACTTGAAGAGGGAGGTATTTTGCCACATTTTTTTGATTCTTCCCGGATGCAAAATGGTACGTTTTTTGCCACTGGATCAAGAACAAAACTTTGTCAATTTGCCCAAGGCTCTTAAAAATGTCAAAAAATGTGGCAAAACGCCGCCCTCTCCAGCTAAAAAACACCGTTTTTAAGGGCCTTTTCCCTCACAAAAGAGCCGTGCTTTCGAAATCGGAGTTTTTTCACTTGGAGAGGGAGGTATTTTGCCACATTTTTGATACTTCCCGGATGCAAAATTTCTCGTTTTTTGCCACTGGATCACTGTACAAGTGAAGGAAAAATTTGTTCGTTATAGAGGGGTTTTTGTCGCACTAAGGCTCATTTTGGCTTGAACGAGACTTTGACTCGCTGAGCTGGTTCAGTGTAGATTTCACACGCACTGTGGGAAGATAAAATTTTTCTTTACACCGTGAAAAAGGCTTTTTTGGGCTGTCGTTTACCCCCGGTTTTTTTCGCACAATAAAAGCGCCAAAAATCAATCCGGCGACTTTCCGAAAATCTAGTGCTCATTTTATCATCCTTTTTTATCCAAATTCGCTCTTACAGTGACGGACCTGATCCAGTGGCAAAAAACGTTCCATTTTGCATCCGGGAAGTATCAAAAAATGTGGCAAAATACCTCCCTCTTCAAGTGAAAAAACTTCGTTTTTAAGGGTCTTTTCCCTCACAAAGAGCCGTGCTTTCGAAATCGGAGTTTTTTTCACTTGGAGAGGGCGGTATTTTGCCACATTTTTGATACTTCCCGGATGCAAAATGGCTCGTTTCTTGCCACTGGATCAGGTCCGCCACTGTAAATCTAGTCTTCATTCGCTTTATATTCCAAAATTTTTCGCTTTTCAGAAACTCCTTTGGCGGCCGAGTCCAATGCGCCGAACGGAAGCTCCGCTTGTTCCCCTCTCGCCACTCCCATTGCACTGACTGCCGTTCAGTCGCGATTCGACGGCGTTCCGGGCGAATTCAGAAGCCTCACGTTTCGCAGCGAGATCCCTGCGTTTGTCGGAAAAAAGCTTGGCTGACCAGTCTTTGGAAGGAGCAGATTAGGCCAAAACTCCCGACAATAAAGCCCATGGACTTGGCGTTTGTTTTTGGATTTGTCTCGTTCATTGCGTACATGGTCGAGTTGTTGTTCTTTGCTTGAAAATTTGGGGGTTTTTTTGGAAAGGAGAAAATAGATTTTTTTTGGGAAATTTGGGATTTTTGAAGGGAAATTTAATTTTTTTGGCCTAAAATTTTTTTGAGATTTTTTTTATTTTAAATATTTTTTTCCGATTTTTTCGGGAAAAATTTTAATCGAAATTTTTAAAAATCCCAAAAAATCAGAAAATTATAATTTATCCCTTTTCTGGCCTCAAAAAATTTTTAATTTTTTTTTTTGAATTTTGAAATTTTAAGATTTTTTTTATTTTTTTGCCCAAAAATTTGCTAAAATTTTAAAAAATCTCAAAAAAAAATCTTATAATTTCTCTCTGAAATCCATTTTTCTCCCAAAAAATCCAAAAAATTCAATATAATCTTTGTTCCATATTGCAAAAAAAAACTCAATTTTTGTCAGATATTCTAGGTCAAATTCGATATCAAAAAATCAGAAATCATCCTCATCTTCCTTGTCAATACCCAACTAGGAGTCTAATTTAATTTTTTTTTGTCTTAAAATTTATTTTTACTGTATTTACAGTGCGCTGCGGGCTTTAGATTTATAGTGTCTTCGTTTGATTTTATTTTTTTTTTTTCAAATGATAAAAATCTCGTATTTTAGGATGTCTTTTTGGTCGTTCAAATTGCCATTTCTCCGAAACAATGATATAAATGTAATTTTTTCCACTCTTCCTGGACTTGTTCTTTCATTTTTTGTACATGTTTGTTGTTAAAAATGTAAATTTTAGATTTTGAAATTCTGTGACTATTCAGATGACGATACATAATCAAAACGAATAAATGAATTTCCTAATAAATACATGGTTAAATTGCCCAAAAACACCGTATTTTTTAATTTTTGGGGGATGCTCGAAGAGCTATACGATTTACAAGGAAGGCGTCAAGTCTGACCCTCATGGGTCAAGTCTTTCTCTCTCTCTTAAAAATGCTGTTCGACCCTCAAATTTTCTTGAAATTTAGCACACACGTCAAGGATATGCCATATATCCATTCCTGAAAGTTTCAGCTCACGCTTTGCCGGAAGAGCCGAGATATTGAACGATCTTTGTCGCCGAGAGAGTACGCGAAATGCGGAGAGAAAAAACGACAAAACTTTTAGGCCCTCTCTTCGCCGGTTTTGCGCAGAAAAAAAGATTTTTTGTGGGAAAATTACCCTCTATGGTAGAAAAAAAATTAATAAGTACGAAGAATTTCATCTCGAAATTCGCCAAGAATACGTACTACAGTAAGGGACCTTATCCAGTGGCAAAAAAAGTACCATTTTGGATCCGGGAAGCATCAAAAAGGTGGCAAAATGCTTCCTTCTCCAAGTGAAAAAACTCCGGTTTGCAGAGCTCCCTCACAAAAAGAGCGGGCACGCTTTTGAAATCGGAGTTTTTCGTTTGGAGAGGGAGGTATTTTGCCACATTTTTGATACTTCCCGGATGCAATATGGTACGTTTTTTGCCACTAGATAAGGTCCCCCACTGTAGAGGTGGTAATCGGGTTTGGCCCGGCCGGCCTCAATTATTGGGCCGAGCCAGTCCTGAGCAGATCCGGACCTGATCCAGTGGCAAAAAAAGAACCATTTTGGCTCCGGGAAGCATTAAAAAGGTGGCAAAATGCTTCCAAGTGAAAAAACTCCGGTTTGAAGGGCGCGCCAAAATTCCGTTACAAAAAGAATGGGCGCGCGTTTAAAATCGGATTTTTTTCACTTGGAGAGGGAAGCATTTTGCCACATTTTTGATACTTCCTGAAAATTGGTACGTTTTTTCCACTGGATAAGGTCCCCCACTGTATCTCAAAAAAATCATTTTAAATTTGCTTTACCAAAATCTGAGCGTTGCACTTGGAGCACCTTCCCGGTTACCCCTGTTCTTTTCAGGATAAACAATTGGCTTTTTTTTACCCGAAAGTTTATCAAAATTCACCATTTTTTTGAAAGTTTATCCTGAAAAAATTCGACGTTCCTTCGACCTTCTTTTTTACTCAAAAAATTAAAATAAATTACATGCAGCTTCATATACCGTCAAGATTTTGCACAGCCATCCTCTGCTGTACACTGCTCAAAAACTCTCGTCCTTTGACGAAAGTAGAGCCGCCGAATTCAACGACAAACATGAACAATGCAAGCAGGAAAAGCATGACTCCAATGGTCATGTAAGCGACGGTCTGGAAGAGGGCTGCCGGGCCAAGTGGGCCGCGGGATTCAATCACAAACTTCTTCTTTCCATCCCAGTTCTCGGTGGGGTAGTCTGAAATTAGAGAGGACTGTAATTATGTGTATAATGAAAGGATGGTGAATACGGTGACTAAAAAATTATAGGGAAATGGAATAGAATGAAATGCTCGGCCTTTAATGAAAAGAAAGTTTATGTTAATCTTCTGTAAGACCCATGCTATAGTGACGGACCTCATCCAGTGGCAAAAAAGTATCATTTTGCATCCGGAAAGTATCAAGAAGTGTGGTAAAATGCCTCCGTCTCCAACTAGAAAGAATTCCCTCACAATTTTTCTTTCACAAAAAGAGCGGGCACGCTTTTGAAACCGGATTTTTTCCACTTAAAGAGGGAGGTATTTTGCCACTTTTTTGATACTTCCCGGATGCAAAATGGTACGGTTTTTGTCACTGGATCAGGTCCACTATGCTCGGCATGAGTATATAAAAACGTTTTTAAAACTTATGCGAGACTCCAAGGTCGCCTTTTGCAGAAACAACCGAGACATTTAGGTCTGTTGGCCAAAAAAGTTGGCGACACCTTTTTTCGGCAAATCTTGTCGTGAAAGGTCTCATACCTACTTCTGCCGTAGAGGATTATGTATTGCGGTCAATGACAAGAACTAAAATAAATTATTTTTCACAAAGACATTAGCCTCTATGGAGGAAATAGGCATCGAACTTTTCAAGTCAAAATTCACAAAAAAAAAGTATCAAAATTTCACCGATTTTCGATCGAGAAATCTCGGTTGTTTCTGCAAAGCGCTAGCTAGGAGTCTCGCATATATCTTGAAAAAGATTTTGCTAAATTTGTGCCAAATTCCATCAAAATCTGAGCGTCGGGAAGTACTCCAAGTGCGACGCTCAGATTTTAATGAAACTTGGCACAAATTTAGAATAATTTTTTCTAGGATATATGCGAGAATCCTAGCTCGCGCTTTGCAGAAACAACCGAGATTTTTAGATCAAAAGTCGGCCAAAATTTAGGACTTTTTGCCGAATTTCGGCACGAAAAGTTTCATGCCTATTTCAACCGTAGAGGAAAATGTTTCTACAAAAAATCAAACTTTTCCGCACGAAACTGCCAAAGTTATAGCCAAAAAGCGGGTTTCTCTCCGACCGCTCTCCACGTTTAGCGTGCTCTCTCGGCGGCAAAAATCGTTCGATATCTCAGCGGCGCCCGCAAAGCGCGAGCTAAAACTTTCAGCAATTGATATTTAGTCTATTCCCGACGTGTGTGCAAAATTTAAAGAAAATCTAAGCGTCGCACTTGGAGAACTCAACAAAATTTCCTTTTCAAATTGCTCAAAATCAAATTTTTTGTGTAATCATCACATTTGTGTTTTTGAAGCTTCCAAACTCTCATTTCCCTCATTCACAACTCGCCGTAGGCAGCTCCAAAAACCTCTTTTTCAAACATCAGACACCACTTTCTTTCTCTTCCGACATTGCTTCCAGACGCGCGGATGACTCCGACAATTTCTCAACAATTTTTTTTATTATTTTTTTCGTCGACAGACGTGTCGTAAAAATGCGAAAAAAACGACGAGGGACGTCTGGATGTTCTCCTTCCCCTCTTTCACGCACTTTTAAACATGGAGAATATCGTTTTTTTGGGGTGAAGCGGGGCTTTCGGCTGCAGTTTTGGCTCAAAAATGAGTTTGTAATTACAAAATTTGCAGTAAATATTTGGAATTTGCCTTCAGAAAGTGATCTCCGCTACATTTTTGTGTTTTTTAAAAAGCCTTTGACGATTTGAAAGATCTCGTGAAGGTCATCAGCCGCTACTGAATTCCCCCCACTACTCCGAGGACCCAGTTCTGCAGCGATTTTTGCCGGTGATTTGGCGGGGGAAATGACGTTTTCTGGCTAGATTAATCTGCAAATTTCAGGGCGCTAAATGGGTCACAGAACGTTGTCGCACGGGGAATTTTTGTTCCTTTTTTATTTTGCTTATTGTTGGAGGGATGGTAGAGGTACTGGCTTTTCAAAGATGTTGTAAAAATCCGGGGATTTTCTGGATTCATGAATATTCTCATTTTTTTGTTTTCAAAATGAATGTCGACAGTTTTTGACGCGTTTTTTCGCGGCGCACAATGCATTTTTCTCACAAGGAAAGTACCTCTATGGGGTATGGAGTTACAGGCAGAGATTGCCACGGTCAAAATTTCGGCTCCGGCTCTTAGCTCCCAGAGCCGGAGCCGAGGCCAAATTTGCTGCTCCGGCTCCGGCTCTTGGCTCCGTGCAAAATTTAAAAAGGCCTCCGGCTCCGAATCCCGGCTCCTATTCAAAATGTTTTTAAAAAATATTTTTCCAAAAAATGAAAGTTATTTGTGCCAGAGATCACACAGCCAACGTTTTTGCAGTCAAGTCACATCCTCCGCAGTGTTTTTCAAGCAGTTTGGTTTAACAAGATCACGAAATTTTTACCTTTCTGACAGCTGGGAAGCCTGGCTCCGACTTTGGGCTCGGGAGCCGGAGCCGACCCCAAAAATCCCCCGGTTCGGTGCCGGAGCCGCTCAGAGCCAGAGCCGTGGCAATCTCTGGTTACAGGTCGAGACATGTATCAAAAAAAATCCAGAATATGTAAAGATTAGCTGCCTAATTTTGATCTGTCAGGGCGAAAAGACCTTCAGAGCTTTTCTCGAAACACCTCGCGAATGCCTTTCTGACCAAGTTTTTACCAAATAGCTGCCTAAAGATATTTTACGCCTTGTCAAGATACCAGGGTTTACTTTAGCTCAAAAACAAGCTTATGCGATTTCCGTTGCAACAGAGTGCTCATTATTTTCCCGACAAGCTGATATCCCTCTCTTGTCATGTCCAATTAGGCTCGCGGACAAATCACATCCCCAAACACGCTTCTCCACTCCCTCTTTCCCTTTTGTTTGCCTGCAACAAATCGCAGTCTCTTGACCATTAGTCATCGTTTCGTTGCGACGTGTGAAATGCTCACTTTCGAGTTTCGACAGACACTTGTTTTTTCGTCTTTTCGTCGTTACAATTACGCACAGACAATGGGATCCGCAACGTTGAGAAACCTTGCGGAAGAAAGCGAGGTGTCGAGGAGGGGGGAAGCGAATATGAGATGAGTCAGTTGTTAGACGAGGGGATATCATATTGGTTTGGGGTTGGTTGGAAGACGTTTGGGATAACTAGTCGCGCCATAAAGTCTGAAGATTTTTTTGTCGACGTCGCGTGGCAGAGAAGTGCATTTTGCTAGCGCAATTTATACACGGTGAAATAGGCCTTTTTTGGGCCGCCACTTGCTCCCTGACCTTTTTCGCATAGTGCTAACGCCAAAAATTTCTTTAGCGACTTTACGAACGGACTACTAAAGAAAACATAAAATTCGGTAGATAGACACCGAATCAAGCAAAACCTACAGTGACGGACCCGATGTCACGACTTCGCGTGCGAATTTGCATATTCCCACGGAATGACCGACAAATTGGTATAAAAGGAAGAGAAATCGCCAATTATGATTATATTTATTTTGTGTATTGTTCTTTCACGGTTGTGTCCAATAAAGTCTACTGTATTGTCTATTTGTCTATTGATTGGTCTATGGTCAGCTCTTGCGAAGTTGGTTCCTCAAGTATTGTGAGTTCATTTGTGACGTTGTTTCATTAGTATTGTTAGTCGTTTGTCATAGTTCTGTTAGTCGTTTGTCATCGTGCTTTGTATAGTATTATTTGGGCTTGGGATCAGAAATAGCAACTAGATTAGGGACCTTTATATACGTGTCTCACTGAACTCGTCACACCGATCCAGCGGCAAAAAACGTAGCATTTTGCATCCGAGAAGCCTCCAAAATGTGGCAAAATGCCTCCCTCTCCAATTAAAAAAACTTCGTTTTGAAGGGCCTTTTCTCTCACAAAAAGAGCCGCGCTTTTGAAATCGAAGTTTTTTCACTTGGAAAGGGAAGCATTTCGCCACATTTTTGATACTTCCCGGATGCAAAACGGTACTTTTTTTGCCACTGGAGGTCACTGTAAGCCTCCGTTGATACCAGTTTTTTTCTTTTCATGAAAGCCCCAATACAGAATTTCGAAACAACTTTTACGAATCTTTAACAAATTGCGAATACTATTTACAACATGGTGACAATTTATAAGACATTTTTAATTTTTACGACTTCCCAATTCGTTTATTGTACATTTTGCGTCACAAACTCGCCAAATTTTCGCCGATTTATCACAAAAAACTCGCGAAAGAAACGAGGCAAACGCCCTAGATTACAGTTGTTTTTGTGAGGTCATGAGCAACTCAGTTTGTAGGTGAAAAAATGACGAGGGTATTTTTGAGGGTGATTTGCTTGGGAGTTCATTTGGGTCGACTTTTTTTGGCGCTACGGCTTTTCGGGTCAACGATACTAGGGATCGACCGATTCGTGTTTGAATGCATAGAGGAGGCTAGCAGATGGCTTAGCTGGTAAAAATAATAAGATTTACTGGGTCCTAGGATAGCTTATCACTTTTTTGAGGTATTTTACATGCGCTCATACCAATAATATCTAGTCGGTCATGAACGAAGTATCAATTCCCAAAAGTTTTAGCTTGCGCTTTTCAGGCGCCGCCGGGATATTGAACGATTTTTGGCGCCAAAAGAGTACGCTAAACGCGGAAAGCGGCCAGAGAGCAAAAGACTTTTTGATCATAACTGAGAATTTTTTCTTTGTTCAAACATTACCCTCTATGGTAGAAATAGGGAAACTTTTCGTGCCAAGATTCGGCAAAAAACGTCAAATTTTCGCCAACTTTCGATCTAAAAATCTCGGTTGTTTCTGCAAAGCGCGGGCTAGGATTGTCGGATATATCGTAGATAAAAATATTCTAAATTTGTGCCAAGTTTCATCAAAATCTGAGCATCGCACTTGGTATACTTCCCCCGCAATGTAAACCCGAGACTCCTGGCTCGCGCTTTGCAGAAACAACCGAGATTCTTAGGTATCGGAACTAACAAGGGAATAATTTTAGACAAAAAATGAAATAAATGCCAAAAGGAAAGGGAAAAAGAAAACAATGAGCGCTCATTATTTTCCCGACAGTCCGATATTGCACCTCAAACCCTTTGCAAACATTTTTTGATTGCTTCCTGTTTGCTCCAGCAAGCCTTGATCTAATTTTTTGTACCGGATTCCTCTCCCAATTCTTATCATTTCCCTTCCGGTGATTGGAAATTGGCATCAAAACCGATCATGAACCATATGATCCGAAGGTTGTCGCTTTCGTCAAAACCGTCGACTCGAAAAATCCCGCGAATCGCGTGATCGAAAAAAAACAAATCGATTAGTCGGTGAAATAAATCATTTCCGTCGGATTTGACGCCTTTTTTCGCTTTTATTCGCTCACCGCCGCCGACGTCGTCGGGGACGATCGTGGGGCTCGTGACGCCGCAGACTCTCGATGCTTCGGCATCTCGACGCCGCGCTTCTGCCGTGTTGGTTTTTGGCGTCTAGCGACGAAGGTTATTATCTGGGTGTGTGGGGGGATTTGCTGATGAAGGATAAAGACAAGGCGGGGCGGCTCAAGGTCTTGATTTACAAGAGCCCATGCACTTTTAGGGTTCAAGCTAAAAGTGCATGGGCTCTGACGTCGCGGAAGATGAATTGCACTGATTTTTATACCAGATTTGTGTCGAGTTTCTTTGTTTTATAGCTCGCTGTCTTGTGTTAGGCTTGGCGAAGAAAATGCCTGTAATTTTTTCAATTTTTTCAAGCTGCAACATTCAAAGGAGCGTCAAATTTGGTACGCATAAGCTACCTAGGCTACACAGTAATCCCTGAAAATTTTAGGTCACATTTTGTAGGCGCCACGGAGATATTCATCAATTTTTGTGCGGTTAGAAGTACGGAGAGAGCCATGAAAAAATTCGTTTTGATGGCGTTGCAAATTGCTGGCTTAGAAGTCATCATTAGGTCTGGAAAATCTTTAGAAAAAAGGCCCAGTGTCCAGGGGCGCAGCAGAGAGGGAAGGGAAAAGAAAATGGTACCCTTCCCAGGCCGGTGTAGAAGAAAAAAATGGTAAAGGGGACCAGAGTGGGTCAATACAGTGATGGATCTCATCTATTGACAAAAAAACGCATCATTTTGCACCCGGGAAGTATCAAAGAATGTAGCAAAATGTAGCAAAATACCTCTGCTTTTTCTGAGGGAAAGGGCACGCCCCCTTCAAAACGGAGTTTATTTAGTTGAAGAGGGAGGCATTTTACTACATTTTTTGATACTTACTAGATGCAAAATGGTACTTTTTTGGCACTGGATCATGTCCGTCGCTGCATGTTGAAAATTTCCTACTTTTGCTGATTACCTTGGTCCCTCCTTATCATTTTTTTCTTTGACCCTGGCCTGCAGGGTACCCCATCTTCCCTCCTAGCTAGGCCCCTGGACACTGGCTTCTTTCTCTAAGGGGTTTCCGCACCTGCCGGTGATTTCGATCCCAGCAATTTGCCAATTTATCAAAACTACTTTTTTCCATGGCTTTAAGGTGCCCCTACTCCCCCCCCCGCCCCATGCCCCTGGGGAACCCCTCCCCTGCCCCTTCAGGCCGATGCCAAACGAAACAAATGCCCCCAGCCCAATGTTTGAACAGCTACGCCCCTGCCAGCGTCTCACAAGTCAGCAAGCCCCTAAAAATTCTTTTTTTTGCTGCTTTTTCGGCGACAAAAAGTTTGAAAATTAGCCAAAGTCACCGCCAAGTTCATTGTAGTTTGTATTTACAATAAAACTGCCGCCTCACTTCGCAAACTACATCCCCTGTTACCTCTGGTTGTCCCATCATTAATCCAGCCCGGCTGAGTCAACACTTTTTCCAACCCCCCGAAAGTTCGGTCGCAAGATTTGGATGATCAAAAACTTTTTTGATTTCGTAATTGCTCAAGATTCCCGATCCCATCTCTCGGGGCTTCTTTTTGCGTCGCCAGACGAATGAAATATGCGGCAGAAAATGGTCGCCGCGTCGCGCCGAAGTCATTAATCTCCGAGCAAATCGGCTGCTTCCCTTGTTACATAGAGGGTTTCAATTCCTTGATAAAACGGGTTGACCCAGTTTTCTCATAACGGAACGAAATTTTTAGGCGCTACGGTAGGTGTAAGGCGACGTAGCTTACTGTAGCTGAATTTCTACGGCGTGAAAACTTATTTTGAAGATTTTGTATACGTAGTAGACCTGTCGGGAAGCCGCTGGAGTGATTTTTGTGACATGCACTGTGCGAAAATAAAAGTTCTTTTTTGCACTGTGCAATAGGCTTTTTGGATTGTCGCTCGCACCCTGATTTGTTTTGCACAGTGCAAGCGCCATAAATGAGTAGGGGGACTTTTTGGAAGGGCTAGTGAGTAACTAAAGGTCTGTGGCAAGGAAATTTGCGTCATTTTAGGACAAAACCTTGCTATAAAATAAATTTTGTGATGTGTTGTGACAGTTTTTACCGAGGGTTGAATGCATAAAGAAAGTGAAATTTCTGTATAACAAATTACCAGATGTAGAAAGATTTCTTGACTATCGAAGGGGTTCGTCGTTTTGTAGAAACTTTCTTTTGCTCTAAAGAATACCCATAAGGCCT